ATCATAAAATTCCGCTATAAAGAACCAAAATTAATGCCATTTATTTTTATAGTTCTTTATACTTAATAACTTTATTTTTATATATGAAAATTCTAGTTAAGTTTTCATTTATTGTTTAATTATGAGTTAAACTTTAATCCTCATTCAAAATACTTGCGACTAATTCATTATTTTTTATTTTATTATTATTAAATAAAAAAGCTTTTAATAACGCATTAAATAAGCATTTTAATATAACTTTTTCGTTTAATTCTGTTAAGTTTAATATTTATCGCAGGAAATTTAAAAAACGCGCTATCAATATAACCTTGTGATTATTTTAATTATTTGTAGCAAACATAAAGAGATATTATGAGAGTTTAAAAACTTATATTATAATTAATTTAATATAAGCTAATATATATTAAAGGCGCAACGTAATAAATTTATTTTAACTTTTTAAAAGCAATTAAAATTAAAAAGTTAATAAAAAATTTAAAATAGACAATGGAAAAACATATAAAATATTATAAATTAAACTAAAAACTTAAAAATATTAATTTAAGTTTTCGATGTGATATTTTCAAGTAAAACCAAGGTTTTTCAAGAATTTGAAGCTAAACGCTTAGATAAATTTCCATATATATTAATTATATATAAAATTATAAAGTTTAAAACTTTATTTTATAACTATTAAGCTAATTAAGCTTATAATATTTTAAATAATATTTTATTTTATTTACTTTAACGAAAATAAAAACCACTTTATGATCTATCGAAATTCTTATTTAAATAATTACGTATTATTTATATACGATTTTAGATCTTGAAAATAACATTTAAGAAGACATTAATATATATTACTAATATCAATAGAGTAAAAAATGGAAATACAATAATTATAATATATATTTCTTTGAACTTATTACTTAAATAATATAATATAGAACGTATATTATATAAAGAAAAGAAATAAGCCAACGAAATAAAGGGAAAATAACTAATAAAATTATTATTTTTTGTAATCGTTTATTTCATAATAATCACGGTTACGTTAATATATTGACTCAACGTTAATGTTTATATATACGACTGTACATATATATATATATCTTCTACTTGAAAGTTATCTTATAATAATTATTTACGCGTCGGTATATCAAATTAAAATTTAACCTTACGTATAAAACTATACTTTGATTTTTTTAAACTTTACTTAACTTTATGTTAACAGTACGTTATAAAATTATACGTTTTTAATTTAACTTTTGATATAAATATAACTCAGTTTTATCATCTTTTATTATATTTTATTCGTAATATTATATACGTTTTAAATATGATATTAAATTTAAGAAGAAAAATCGCTTTTCTTTTAAATAATAAAGATTTGAAGATTTAGATTTAGCTGTTTTTCGTTTTTTTTAAATATCGATAATTTAAAAAAAACATATTGTACGACTAGGTTTCTTATAATTTCGTATCACGCGATGCGTTATTATTTATTAGAATTAAATCAAATGGTAGCTTATTAATTAACTGACTATTTTTTTATAAATTGACAGAATATATTTTTAAAAAAGCTTATATGACTACCATTTTATTATTATTATTTACATAATCTACAATACTTTGATTATATGCAATAATATAATTAAATATTTAAAAGCTATGTTGTTTATCAATATAAAACAGTATACGGTTAATTAATATTTAATATTAAGTTTATATTATATCCGGTAAGAAATATTACATATAAATAAAATTCGATGTAATTTAATAAACCAGGTTTTATAATAAATGCTTTTATTATTCTGAAAAGATTTCTAATTCAAGGGTAAACCTGTTTAACGTATTAAGTAAAGATACTATAATGCGTTATTTTATCGCTATCAAAAGGGCTTTTAACCTGGTAATATTTGATTTATTCTTAGTTATTAATAAGGTAAGTTTTAAGCAAGCTCGCGTTTATTTCTTCATAGTTAACGTATAAAAAATAAATATAAAAAAGTTAACGTAGCTAATAAGCACATTAGCATTACAAGCAAGTTAGCACTTGTTATAAAGTTTTTGACCAATACGGTTCAAACCATTATATCTTTACTATTAATAATAGCACCGCGTTATAACAAATCAGACTTACAGCTAGCTGTCTAAGTTAAATGATGTAACTTTTAATTTTTATATTTCAGGTTGCAAAACTTTCTAACGTCTTTCGTTCTATTATAAGGGAGAAAATGAAAAGAATGCTATTACGATGAGATAGTATGCTTAATATTTTAAAACTTATAGTTTTTAAAAAGAACGGGGGGAAAAAATTCGACTCAAATGCGCCAGAATTCCTACCCCGGTATAGTTATATTAAAAATATAGAAATTGAATTGTTAACAGCGCGTAAGGCTAGGCGCGTAAAAAAAAAACTAAATGTAGAACTTTATTCAGCGTATACCAGGCCTTTAAACGCGCTTTTATTAGAAAAATAAAATATGAAAAGGTTTCAAATGAAGATTTAAACGTATGTTACGCGTCGTTTTGCTAAACTAAAGCAGCAATTATAAAATATAGGATTTAAAACGCGGATATTTACAATTTTAATAAGATTAAGTTTATAAGCATTATTAAGCTTAATAAGTTTAAAAAATGTTTATAATTATCTTTACTACTAATCTTAATAGTTAAGTGGTTCTGCCGTTTATTATTTAATAAGGTAAAACCTACCTTGTGTTATAATATGATAATATGATATTACTACGGAATTAAAAGGTCGTCGTATTTAATAACGCGTAAACTACTAATAAAATCGGTTTAAAATAAACTTAATACTTTAATAGATGTATCCAATTGCGTACAACCGCTACTAGATATTTCCTTATTTTGAATGGTTATAAAAGCTATTATTCCTAGATTTTCAAAGATTATTATTAAAATAACGGTATTATTACCTTTTATATGTCTACTTATTTATTATACAAGCTTTAACCTTTAAATAATAGTTGTTTTAACCCACTTAAATAAGCCTATAGTCGCTTAATTAAAGATCTTATTTAACGTTATATAGCTTACATTTTTGAAAAAGGACTTTCTTATAGCGTTTTATAAAATACATAACGCTATTATAACGCTAGAAACCGTTTAAGTAGGTTTCAATACTACTGGTTTTATTTCTTTTAACTTAAAAAGTTTATTTTAAAGCTAAATGCAGTTATAATTATATAAATACCATCGTTCAACCTTAATCTACTACCTACTATTAATAAAGCGGTAACTTAATTAGTTTATATTGAAACCAGAGTAAAAAACCACTTAAAAAGCTTACTTATATTAATTATTAATGTATTAAACTTGTGTTTTAAAGTTATGTATAATCTTATATACAAGGTTGCTTTAATCAATTTTTAAATTTGAAAGTTTAAAAAGGCTACTTGTTTATTCAGTAAACGCTAGAAGATATAAAAAAAACGTGTATTAGAAAGAAGAGTACTTTTCGTTAAAAATTCAGTAAGTTTTAAGCTATGAAAGATAATACTAAGTTATCAAGATAAGAAATAAGTAAGAGTTCTCGTTATTTGAAGAAAGCGGCAGCACGTAAGCGACGGTGTAACATTTGTAGTAATACTGGCTATAATCCGCGAACTTGTACAATAACAATAAAACCCTTTAAAGAAAAATAATCTAATTAATTAAATTAAATGCGTTATAACAATGGTATTTAATATACTAATTAAAGGGTTTATAACAAGTATTAACTTGCTTATAATGCCAACTCGCAAGCTAATTACGTTATTAGTTTATCGCTTTTTTAATATAATATTTTCCCGCTACGTATATACAAAGCGTGATTTTTTTTAGTAATTACGTGCTTTTTTCCTGGGCTTATTTACAATTACGTAACTATTTCAAATATATATATATATAAAGTTATAATAAGGGTAAAATAATTTCATAATTTATGACGTAAGGGCTTTGACCCGGGTAAAAAAAAAATTTAAAAACCCCCTTCAAATGTTAAAAGTACCCAAAATAAAGTTTATTAATAAACTTAAGTTTAAATTTCAACTATCTTTTTTTATTCTCTATATAAACATACTCACTAATAATCAATATTTAATCAGGCTAGTTGCGGCTTTTTAAAACGTTTAAAGGTGTAAATCTCGTTGCAATTCTTTTTTAAGATTTTTAAACAGCCGGAATTTTTGAAACGAGGCGTTTAAAAAAAAGTAAAGTCTCATTGAACTGTATAAAATATTTTAAAAAGTCCATTTATTTATAAATAATAATATATAAAACTAATTACAGCTTTTCAAAATATTTAAACGTGTAAATTTCACTTATAATATTTTTATATGATTAGGTCTCGCTAGGAAAAATAGCTTAAAATTTATTTTTTTCTTATACTAACTTATAATAGTGTTAATTTCCGAAAATAAAACTTCTCGTTAATATACGTATATTAGTTAGATAACGATAAGGTTGTAAATAATGTTAATTCACTTTACAAAGGGTCTTATTAACGTAAATTAAATTGGTCGGGACCTTAATCTTATATTTAGTGCTAATTCTTTTTTCTAAACTTGTTGTAGCCTTGGAGCCCCCAATGGCCCCTGTTCAGTGCACTGCCATCTCCCTGACGCCACGGTGGCTTACGTGCCGTTCAACATCTGCGGAGGAGAGGTAATAAGCGATTTGCTGAAGTCATACTCAGCATGCCTGAGCTGAGGGGGACCCGTGCTCATAAGGATTGCGAGCCACAAAACGGTATGATATCAAGTTTTTCGAGCTCTTCGACCTGGAAAGTACATATGTGGACGTGGAGGTATCACAGGGAAATAACTCATACATCAAGCACCGATATGAGGATTGTATTGCAGAAATGACTGTGGAGTTAATTATGATGAAAAGACAGTTAGGCCAGTGTCGAACCGGCATGTTCAAAGCAGCGATATATCTCACGAAGACCCCTAACCTGCCCAATTTCCCAAGCCTCCCAGGCGCTCCGCCGACTTCGAAGAGTAGCCAACCCGTTAATCCTCGTCAACTTTGATGTCGCCATCCTTGTCTATTTCCATCTTCATACCATCGAGGATACTGCGCGTCACGATCTTGGGAGAACTCCGAGTGAGACTCTTCAGGTCGCTCTCGATAGTGTCGTGTATTTTCTGCTGGGTATCTTTCCTTCGCTGGTCCCAAGGTTCGTTGTCCTTGTCCACGCTGCTCATATCGATGATGACCAGTGTGGACTTCATGCTTTTCAGCCCTTTATCCTTGGCGGAGTTGACTTTGGATTTGAAGTCTGTCCAAGTATTGGACCAGAATCCCGCCGCGAGATGGGTCAAGAACTTGCTGTCTTCCTTCTTTTCCTTATCGTCGTTGTCATACTTCCCGACCACAGCTGCCCCGATGCAGATCGATATACTGTCCGCTTTCATCGTATCGTCGGCCTTGCCCCTCTTGGCGGAACCCATTCCAACATTGATGGTGTCACCGCGAGGAGTGAGGCCTCGGCGCCTGAGCTCCAGTGCGCACCGGTCGTTGGCTCGCTTTGCGAACTCTGCGAGTTCCACATCTTCGCGCCCGGCGATGCTGTTTAGGTCGGCTCCCCTGGTGCACTGGTCAGAATCTATGCACTGCAACACTGCTGAAAGGGCAATCAGGGACACGACTTACCGTGGGACTTTGGTGAGCTCTGCTGCGGCAGAAGTAGCGAGCAAACCGCCCACTAAGAGACTGGAAAAGGACTTGAGGTTGTATCGCATGATGGCTCTCGTGTGAAACCTAACGATTCCGTGTCGAGTCTTGAAGTGGGGTGTTCTCGAAGAAGAATTGCTTATATGAAGGGCTGTTCGGTGGTCCTTCTGAAGTGATGTACTACTGCTGTGACATGACTTTCAACCAAAAGTTGTGTACCTACCCGGGAGATAGCCTCATCTATATAGACGTGATCACGACAAGAATAGCAACTGGCAACTACAGATATCCAGAACTTCTTGCTAGGACTTCTTGCCAGAACATAATGGGAAGTGACCATCGTATGATGCTCTAGGAAAACTGCAAGACACACGCCGATAATACGTATACGGGAACAAGTTCGAATCCTGTCAGCCATAGCTTTTGCTCCAGCACCCATGTTTTCCAAACCGTCCTCCTCTGGTCTGGATGCTACAATGAATAATCGTCGATCGAAACGAACGTATGATGTATGTTTCTACCATTTTTAGCATCGGTACCACTTCTAGACTGCCAAGGTCGAACTTATTACGAGGCTGACAGGTTTCGAACTTTTGTCGAGGCTCACAGGATTCGACCGGTTACCGTATATATGGGTTGTGTCGTGCCGAGCCACTTGGGCCTTTCAACCGGTCCGGATCCTGCCAGCACTAGCTTTTGCTCCAGCCCACGTTCGTCGTAAACCGTTCACTCTTCTATCCTTTTGGCATTTTTACTATTCCTAGCACTTTTACCATCCTGGTTATCTGTAGATGCTTAGAGAAGATGATGATATCAATAGCAAAATACAAGAGCAACACCGTTACCAAAAGGCTGACCTCCACGAAGAGTAGTCCACTAGATCAAACCCCCGGTCTATGATGATTACCGTAGTCAGTTTATAGGACTGACGACACAAGTCGTACATTGTCTACGTGTCAAGCGATGCAACGGAGTATACAGTAAGTGGGTGCTCTCAAACAGTGAAATGTTGCGTGATCAGAGTCCCCACTATTTGGTGCTATTTGTCCACTTCATCCACATTGTGTGGCTACGCGCACATCCTTCCACCCACAACAACAGCAACACAGCCCCATATGCACCAACTCTGGCCTTTCTTGCTTTAAAAATCGGAGTCATAGTCTGCCTGATGGCATCGTCCTCGAAGACCTGGTCCCGATCTTTGATATTCCCTGTTTCTTCTCTGCGCCGAATCGGCGGCAGAATGAGCAATCTCTCATAGTGCACCAGTCCATGGTCCTTGCTTACCTCCTTGCCTACCTCTTTTTCCTTTGCCAAAGCTCACGGTCCTGAAACGACTCTCAGGGAACAGACACGAATTAGTAGAGTATCAAATCGCATCGCCGCAATCATGGTCTCGGCCTCGCACGCACATCCCGAACCCTTCAACTCAACCTATCCACTCGCGGCCGACTTCCCCAAATTTGGCGAGCTTCCCAAGGAGCTGCGTCTCCAGATCTGGGAAAGCTCCTTGCAACGGCACCGCATCATCAAGGTGACACTCTCACCTCGTGAGCTACCGCAGGACGAAGAGCAGAGCAGAAATTGTCTAGGAAGGGCCGCACGATGTGCGCGTTACCGCGATGATGTGCGCGGACATCAGGTCCTGTCCAAGCTCCTCACGGTCAATAGCGAGGCCAGACAGGCAGCCCTACAGTTTTACAGGGTTCACGTGCCCTGCTCTTTCTACCATGGCGACATATCAGAAGACCGGTTTCTCCCCTTCAATCCGGAGTTCGACTTCCTCCATATCCGACCTGGTAGAGGCGCAGAGAGCTTTGCCTACCTCGTCCATGACTTGAAGACATACGATCCTTTGGAAGTCGGCCTCCTGAACCTCGCAATGGATGGGGATAATATTCGCGCCCTCCGCAAAGTCGAACCGTCTCGGCTTGATGCGCCGACGTCGAGGGCGTTCGAGGACACTATGTCAAAGCTTCGGCAGTTCTACTACCTATGTGTCGAGAACGCGGGCCGCGTCTGGCTCGGTTATCTGAGTGGGGTGCCGGCGATGAGGAGCAGAATTGCATTCCATCGATCCTGTCCCATCTGGAGCAAGATTCCGACTTTTGACCTTGTTCCTCGGGACACTCGGCCATGCGGAGGGGACCTGCAACGTGTTTTCGTGGGGACATGCGACCCGAGGGAGATGGTCATCGAATGGCGCCAGCATCTAGACAGATGGGGCATACGACACCGACAGGGTCAAATCGATTATAGCGTTCTGATCTCGTGCAAGCGACCTACAAAAAGGATACGTGGTCGCGATAGTGCGCGGCAGTGGCTGAGAGAAGAACAGGCCGAATGGGAGCAGGGGCTTGAGGAGGTGGCCTCCTCGACGCGCCAAGGGTCCCGCATCGGCACCACCGACTCATCAGAGGAGATCGCGACGCCGGCTGTAGGGTTCTGGCTGTTTCCCACTAAGGCAATTGGTCCATTCCCAGACACACAGGAGTTGATGGAGTGGAATCCCAAGGGAAAGAGGGTCCTTGATATGATGGACCACTGGCCTGGACTAGGGCTTTCGCATTTACCTTGATGCATACCTTTTTGGCAACGTCACTCGTACCCACAACTCCTCGGAATAGTCTCAAGTTGCTCAATAGGTTCTCGTTATCCAAGTTATGTTGCACAGCAAGAAGGCCAAAGGGTTGCATATCTGCTGTATTGGTGTTGTTGTTGTTGTTGTTGAGGTCTGGAGGTGGTGCGCAGCTGCAGTGGATGTGGGCAATATGCCAACCCAAGTGGGTCACGTGACCACACAACAAGTTATTTCTTTGTTCCCCTCCTACTGGCTCCTTCCACCGCAACTCCCCACAACGTGGCCGCAGCAGCAATGACGGCTATGGAAACAGCCCGTAGGCCGCCCCAACACGGCATGACTGAGTCGTTGGCCATAGCCTCTTCTGTACTCGTCATGTGCATTCTGCCGTATACCTTGTCGAAGACTGCGGCCTCCGCTACTGTTGCAGCGTGAGCACAAAAAGGCGGTTCCACCAGGATGGACCTCCAGATCCCAACAGCCTTGATCATACGATTTTTCACAAGAAGCAGTGTCCCATGAGCGGGGAAGAATTCCTCGTATCAACAAACCCCAAGGTATAGCATTAACATATGTATTGTCTATGGATACGGCGCTGCATTGTGGATTTCTCCACCATGGTAGCGTGCAGATCATCGGTCAGTCTGTTGCACGGAATGCTCTTCCAGTGCGCGAACCCGGACATGTTGTTCGCCAATAAGTGGTGTCGTAGACAGTGTCGTCGGCGAGGTACTTGTCGGCCAGCTTCAGGGCTCGGACATAGTCGCCAGTGGTGTAGGCCTGCTGGCCGAGGTGAAGTGAGAAGGTGCTCAGGCCGGCGGCCAGACTGTGATCTGTGATCGTAGTGGGCGCGAGCTCTTTTGGCTTGGTCGTGTGCTTGAAGGAATCACTGACAGGAAGGCTGGGAATGTGTAATTCGGAGCGGCGACGATAGTGTGGAATCAGTCTGCGGTGGCCCCTTCTATCGTTAACTTGTACTTTGTGACGGTGCCGGACAAGTTGCAACTGGCTTGCACTAGCCGGGTCCTAAATATTTGGGGTGGATGTTGCTTGCTTCGTGAGCTGGGCCCAAATGATGTTTCGAAAGGAGATACTTCGAACGGGGATATTGGCAGCCGATTAGAGCGCCCGAGTGCCCTGTGCACCGCCGACGTACTGGAATCCCTTCTTCGCTTCCTCCATGTCGAATTACTCGTCGCCAAGGGCTATCATGCGCTATTAAAGCACCATCCGACGTGCACATGAGAGGAACAAGGCAGCTGCTATTGAGGTTTGAGCTTTAACGACTCCAACTGTTTAGAACATGATTGCTTACATGATAGCATCTCTCTTGAATTGTGTGTCTGGCGTGAGGCTTCAAGCCCCGCCTCCGTTCCCGTGTCCTTGCATCACCCATGTTCCGTAGTGTACCACGCACATCGCCTGCTCGTTCAGCTGCTCAATGCTCGTTGCATTGTCAATATCTCGCTCTGGACCTTGATGCTGGTTGGCAATCATCCTATCGAGGTGCTGGTTGGGTGGTCGTATAAGTCCAACAGCAGAATCTTCCACTCGGGTAGGCCGGCCTCTTCGAGCGAGACTCGTCCGCTGTGTGCCTAGTGACGGTCAACCATAGCCGCCTTGCTGGAGACGTCCTGCACGTGCCCGAAGAAGCTGACAGTGTTCAGGGTTGTTGTGCTTGATTGCGGAGAAGAAGTGGCTGACTTGGTAATTATGGGGGGTTGGAAGGTTTGGAAGGGTTGGCTCGGTGCCCACAGACTGCTCAATGGTGTCAATCAGGTTGATCAGCTCCTGATCCTTTGCGAGATTTGCTTCGTAACAATTCACGAGGGATTTGACGGCGGGATTGCCATAGACCTTAAGATCGCGCTTGATTTCCACGAAGATACCGCGGGCAGCGGCTCGTTCGGCCTGCGAAGGTGAAGGAGGCTGGGAAGTCAGCGTGGTGGGGTTAAGGAGTGCGTAGATGATTCGTATGGTCGATATTCGTGTATTCGGTGTGGTCTTGATGATTGTGTTGTTGTGAAGTCTCTGTTGGTGGCTAGGTGGCCCCGAAACCTCTTTCCTGCCCCTTTGTCGACATTGAGGCCACATCCGTGCTGAGTCAGAGGTTACCGGCAAGGGTGCCTGGGGCCGGCCAGCCTTCATCACCGTTGAGACTCGTAGCGTTCCGGGATATGTAGGTCTCTGTCAGTAGACCATGCGTATATATCGGCATCTAAGCCTTGCGGTTGGCGGCCGACCACGTTACTCTGCCACTGGGGACGTTGGCTCGTGCGCTTGTTTGAGCAGTGGGATGAGTTGCGCGGGTAGAGAGCCGAGTTGCAATCTCTCATTGACACGAGAAACCCTTGTTTTGCTCCAGGTTGCGACAGCATTCCAGCTACTACAAGATCCAACACCGCATCGCGATTTACTGACTAAGTTCCACAAGCGCATCTTAACCGCTTCAAGGATCTATGGCGGTGGCGCCCGCATACATCATATGGGTCACCTATTGTAGGTTGGTGCCCGCTGGCCCAGGCGGACCAAATGAGCAGAACAACCTTGGGTGGAGTCCCTCTTCACGATCCTGCCGGCGGAGCCCGGGGTCGTGTTGGGATTACCGCGTCTGGCTCACAAAGGCATATATGATTCTCCCCTTAACAGAACTGGAAGCCGCTGGCGCGTAGAACTATTGTTGAATGGGAGCCGGAAATAGACACCGGAAGATCTCCAGTGGGGCAGAGACGCACAGGGCATCTGACCCACCAAGAAGACAGATGATCAATCTCTGTAGGCTGAAGAAGCAGAGCAGAACAAGAAGAAGAACAGAACACACTGGACAACCTAAATAATCTGAACTCGCTTGCATCTAACAACTATAATAATTCATAAAGTTTTTAAATATGGAATAATTTTTAGGTTAAGTTCGGTAGCATTTCTACGCGCTAATAAGGTTAATATTTTAATTAAAATTGTTAAAAATATACAAAAATCCTCATGATATTATTTATCAAATTATAGCTTTAAAGGTAATTAACGTATTAGCAAGTTATTATTTACTTCAAACCAGAATTACTTATTAACTATATTAACTTTTTAATTATTTCATATTATTATTACTAAATTGTTATATGATTATTAATATTAAGGTAATAATTCACTATAAGCTTACAATATTCACGTTAATATTAACTTATATTAATTTTATTATTAATTTTATTATTAATTTTATTGCTAAAGTTATGGGGGTATTTATAGATTAAGTTGGTATAAATATTTACGTTAATATCAATCTACCGTTGATATCCGTTAAGTTGTTCGGGACCTTGTACAGGATCATCAGTTATATGAACCAATTACGCACTATTCTATAAGCGCACCGTCTGGCGACGCGGGAGCTGCCGAGAGACACAGGGAATGTCCGTAAATCCTTAAAAGGCAGATCAGATGCTTGCCTTCTTTGACTTCACTCCCAAGGAGCTGATGAGGTTGGTGACTTTTGGAGTTTATCATCTGAAAGGTCTCATCCCGCCAACGGAGCATTGCCTCGGATATGCGCTACACTCGATTCAGACACAGCTGGACGTTAATGAGTTTCTCCGGGGCCATGGCGCAATCTCAAGCCACCGGCTCCAAGCACCTTTTCCGGCAGACATGCAGCGCATCAAGCTTACAGACAAGGAAAAAAGCTACTGCAGGACCTGATCAAGAGGCGACGGGTCTGGACAAGATCATGAAGCTAGAGACGATGCTGCGGGAGAATACTATACCGGCTGGTGTGCATCTAGCAGGAGCTACGGAAGACCTGGGCTGGGACCATCAACCCACCCCTCGCATGACTTCCACCGCGTCGACCATTGGCACAGTCAACACCCCCTGTATCATCCAGTTCTGCATATTTCTCGTCTCGAGCAACCAAAACTCTCTTATCTCAATCACCACGCTCATTCTGGTTATGGCACCGATAGGTGATGCTCATGGAGTACTTCACCTGCGACCCGGCGATTCACTGGTCACACAGCGACATGGTCCCCGTTGTGTTCGAAAAGCGGAGATCAAAAAAGGCCAGCCTTGTGTAAAAGCACCGCGACGACATCCCTCGCACCTGAGGCAAGCAGCCCATCTTCAACTTTGTTTAACAAGCAATGTCTTGACCAGATATGCATGAACTTTCGTCACTAACATCCGGATAGCGACAGCAACCATAGCCATAGTGATGTTGGCCCGGAAACAGCCGAGGTGGCACCCCGTGATGCCCGGATACGCAGATAAACACGGCTTGTGAGTAGGGCATGTCGGCATCCCGACTTATATGATACTTGTGTACTGTTCTTGGCGCGACATGGGTGACTTCCTGTAGCGCCGCTCAGGAGCTTCAAGGGCCGCAGACAACTTGCCTCGACTTAAGAGGCTGCGGATACTGCTGGACGAGAATTTCCGAACCAGCACAACTACATTCACACACGGCATCTGTGTCGTCTACGATGTCACCGACATGGACAGCTTCAACAAGAATTCGATCACTTGGAATGATCATCATGGACTCCTCCTGCCCTGCCAGAGCTGCCCACCATCGTCATGGGTCGGCTGTTAAATATGGTAGCAGCCGTAGCGCTACCCAATCCACTTTTGCCTCGTTCAACATCGGCTCAGACCTCCCCGGCCAGATTGTGGCGGATTCTGTGCCGAGATAATCATTCTACAGTCAACCCGATCGCCGTCGTGGCTGCCCCTTCTTGCTTCTGCCGAGCGCGAGAACACCGATCGTTGTCAGCGAGCTTGCTAGTAGTCATTCAAGCCATTCAGCGACTCTCGGAGCGTCGACAAGGGGGTTGTGTAGCTGTCATTGCCGCCCATCACTACTACCATGCTCCAACTATCACAGGCCTACGGGTACGGGACGTGAAGGATGCACTACTGTACTATGATCCTCAAATCACCCCTTAGTTACCGACGCTATATAAGAGCGTCTCTCCTGGTATTGGAGTCCATTTGGCTATGAAGCACATGACTGGCTCGGTGATTTGGTTGGTAACCAACCAAGCAACACGATTTACACGGCTCGCGTTGGTGGGTACCTGCGTACGACGATCCCCCAAGATGGTGGAGCCTGGAACACGAGAGGCTCTTTGATTAGAACATCCGAATGTGTAATAAATCATCACCATGCATGTGGTGACTGGAAAGCGCAGAATGAACGATCGGGATCGACACGCGGCTGAGGTTTACCCTCGATAACTGGAGCTCTGAATTTTTCACCGCCCTATCTGTTTTACAGCCTCAGACCTCGTCGTGTTTATCTACGCTGCAATCATCTATCTGCGCAAGTCTCCGCGATGTCCGAGACTCGAGCTGCCCTCGTGGTGGAGAGCGCTCCTCCCCTACTGAAGATCCGACTGCCTTTCTCTCACCGCCTGAACTGCTTCATCAAGCTCTGGGTCCTCAAAGCTCTAGCCACCATTTTCTTCGCAGTCGACAGACTGATCCATCCACCGCCACGGGCTCAACGTCCCACTCTCATCCAGAGCTACCCCTGTCGCCCAGCTCTCCAGACCCGGGTCTTCTACCCACCAAACTACAGATCCGGCGACCTGCTGCCGCTGTATCTCAGTATACACGGCGGAGGCTTCGTAGTAGGCGATCCTCAACACGACGACGAGTTCTGCAGCATGTGGGCCAAGCGCACCAGCATGCTAGTCGTCTCGCTCGACTACTCCCAGGCGCCGTTGTACCCCTTCCCCATCGCAATCCACGACATCGCCGCTCTCGCCGCGGCCGTCCTCGCCGATGCCAGTCTGCCCATCGACAAGACCAAAGTCGCGATCGGTGGCTTCAGCGCCGGCGGCAACCTCGCCCTATGCGCAAGCCAGCTGTCCGGTCTAAAGGGCACCATCAAGGCGGCATTGACCTTCTACCCCATCGTGGACTGGAGCCATCCCCCCAGCGAGAAGCTAGACGCGCGCCCGTACAAGGGCGGCCCGAAAGACGCGCTCGAGTTTTCGAGTTACTGGTCCGACTGGGCATATGTCCTCCCGGGCCACAACCGCCGCGATCCGCTGCTCAGTCCCTGTTACGCCAGGAAGGAGGATCTCCCGCCCTGGGTCTACGTCATTGCCGCCGAGTGGGATATGTTGCGGCTGGAGAGCCAGGACATGATTCATGAGCTGGCGGGGCTCGCTGGGGTTGGGGACCAGGAGGAGGACTTCGAGGAGGGGACGTACAAGTGGACGCTGGCGAGGGGATGCTCGCACGCGTTTACTCATCATTTCGGGCAGAGGGCGGAGAAGAATCGGAAGAGGGAGCTGAGGTGCGAGCCTATCTACGAAAAGGCAGTTCAGTGGATCAAGAAAGTATTGACGACCGAACACAAGCGTAACGATGATGGAGTGATAAGTCGTGGTATAAAAAGCGTAAATAATTTATATCCAAGTATATACAAGAAGTAACGAACAATCCAAACAACATGATCCACCACGTCGCCTTCCCATCCAATCATTCCGAAACACTATTCATCACACACCCATCCATCATCATGCTTACAGCACCAGGAAGGCAGCCAAAAGCAGCCCACCAAGGCTGAAAGCAGCCGTCTGCGCCGACCCGGCAGTAACGACCGCGCTCGTGGCCGCCGGAGCGCAGCCCGCTCCCGAGCAAGCGGTGGTGGTACTAGCACTGCCCTTAGTCGGGGACGGCGGCAGAGCCGTGCCGACGTAGGACATCATGGTGTTGTTGCTGCTGGCCAATGCGGTCGGGTAGACAGCCACCATGACGACAGCGGTGGTGGTGTGGCAGGCGGCGCCGTTGCAGAGTTCTGTTGCACTGGCCGACTCGGAGGCGGCCGAGGGCTGGCCGGCCGGGTAGGTGGGCGCAGCTACGGCCTCGGTGTTCGAGGCCTCGGCCTTGGCGTTGCCGCCGGGGTACGTGGGGAATGCAACGGCCGTTGTCTCCGATGATTTGGATTCTGAACCGCCTGCTGGGTAGCTGGGCGCTGCTGTGGCCGCGATCTCGGTGGTCGCTGTTTCGGAGCCGGCGGCAGGGTAGCCGGTTGGGATCACCGGCTTGGTCATGGAAGTGGCGGTCTCGGTCTCGGTGATGGGGCATACCGTTGTACTAATAGCGATGATCTCGGTGGTGACAGAGTCGACAGGGCAGTTGGTGACCGAGGCTGGGCACTTCGTGATGGTGGCGGTCTTGGTACTGTAGATAGTGCTTGTGGTCATGGGAACGCTGGTTGGCTTCTCGGTCTCGGTGACGGGGCAGACAGTGGTGCTGACCGCAATCGTCTTAGTTGTCATGGAGCCGACCGGGCAGTTTGTGACGGAGGGAGGGCATTTGGTGACGGTGCTGATCTGAGTGGAGTAGATAGTGCTGGTGGTCATGGGGACACTGGTCGGCTGCTGGGCCTCGGTGACGGGGCAAACGGTAGTGTACAGGGCAATGGTCTCGGTGACCACAGAGCCCCTGGCAGGGCAGTTGGTCACTGTGGGAGCACATGAGGTGACAGTGTAGGAGATGGTCGTCATGATGGTGCTGGTAGTTAAGCCCACTGATGACGAGGTGGTGATGAAGGGCGACGACTGCGTAGCTGAAGCGCTGACAGAAGAGCTTCTGGTGACTGTGCCAGACGCAGCAGGGTACGATGAGGAAGAACCCGATGTGCTAGAAGAGGTCGTGATTGTCGGGTAGCTGCTCGTGCTAGCGATATGAGAGCTGACTGACGATGCGGTGGTGGACGACGACGCGCTAGCACTGGACAACACAATGAACGAGCTCAAGGTCTCGCTGTGGGATGAAGCTGTTGACGAGCTGGATGAAGCAATAGAGCTTCCAGTGGTTGATGGAATAGCGCTACTGCTGGTGACATGCGATGAGGATCTGCTCGTGGTATCGATGCTTGATGTGGTATGGCTTGAACTCGCATAGCTGGAGGTGGTATGGCTAGAGGTAGAAATGTTTGAGCTTGAGGTGATGGCATGGCTCGAGGTAGCGGTGCTGGATGTTGCAGGGCTGGACGTAGCATGGCTGCTAGTGCTGCTTGAGGTAGTATGGCTTGACGTTACATGGCTCGGGGAAGCGGTGCTGGATGTGGCAGAGGAAGCGACGCTGGACGTAGCATGGCTTGAGGAAGCGCTGCTGGAGCTCGTGGCATGGCTAGACGAAGCAGTGCTTGAAGTAGCATGGCTGCTGGTACCCCTCGATATAGAACTGCTTGACGTTACATGGCTCGAGAAAGCGGTGCTTGAAGTGGTATGGCTGGAGGTGACATAACTTGAGGAAGCGGTGCTGGATGTGGCATGACTCGAGGAAGCAGTGCTTGAAGTAGCATGGCTTGACGTAGCGATGCTGGAGCTCGTAGCATGGCTGGAGGTAACGCTGCTAGAGCTCGTGGTATGGCTTGAGGAAGCGATGCTTGAGCTCGTGGCATGGCTTGATGAAGTGATGCTGGAGCTTGTGGCATGGCTTGATGAAGCAGTGCTTGAGATGGCATGGCTGGACGTAGCGCTGCTAGAAGTGGCATAGCTAGAGGAAGCAGTACGTGAAACGGCATGGCTAGATGAAGCAGTGCTTGAGGTTGCGTAACTTGACGTAGCGATGCTTGATGTCGCATGGCTTGAGGAGACAACGGAGCTCGAGGAAGAGGCAATCGAGCTCGAAGAGGAACCAACGCTGGAGCTGGTGATACTTGAGAATGTAACTCCTGCGCTCGAGCTCGAGATGCTACTCGAAGTTATCGCGCTAGACGCCGAGCTAGATGTTGAGGATGCGAGAGCAGAAGACGAAGTCGAGGCAATGCTCGAAGTGCTAGTCGAAGACACGGTAGAGCTGGTCGAGGTCGGGAGCGTCGGCTGGCAGATATCCCCAAGGCAGCCACCGCACTTTAGGGCCTCAGAAACTCCCTCGTAGTAATTCTTGCCGTCCACAACGTTCTGGTACGCGTAATTGGCATCGAAGAGCATCATACCACCAAAGTGCTTCTTGGTCTTGTACTCGCAGATTAGCTCCTTGGCATCGTCTGCGCCGATGTAGCCGCTACCACCCTGTGCGGCGTCGGTGCTGGCAGGGAGACCGATGAAGAGTTCCGTGTCCTCGTTGGCAGTGCCCACGATGAAGTCCTCCCAATCATCGTAGTTGAATCCGCCATTGACTGCGTCGCAGATCGGGTTGTTGTAAAATTGAATCCAGATCTTGTCGAACTTGGCCTCCGTGAGGATGGTCTTCATTTGGAAGTACTCGTCGCTCGTGGGACATTGGGGAGCTGCGGTCAGGATGATGTCTTTGTCGCATGCCTCGATCCGCTCGCGAAGTTGGTTCACCATTGCCACATAAGGGGCTTGGTCATCTAGAAGGGATTAGTAAATACACTGGGCATGACAACTACCACAAGACCCTGTGGAAATCTCAAAGGGATGCGTGAAAAGCTTCAGCTTACCAAACTTCTTCTCAACATCGAAGTCGAAACCGTCGAGACAGGTGTGGTCCGCATCGCTCTGGTCGAAGGGTCTGGGGCCCTCGTATCCCTCTACAAAAGGCCCGAAAGCATCCATCATGAAGTCTGCAAACTCGATTCCATTCTCGACCGTCGAGACTGCGTAGTTGTTTATCTCGGAGTACTCTCCTCCAATCGACAGCAGGATCTTCTTGCCCAAGTTCTGGCAGGTCTTGATGTCCTCCTTAATGAAGGAACAGCCGCTGAGAAGCTTCGAGTTCTGACCGTCCTTCACATATACGTCGGCAGCGCAGTGAGCAGCAAAGTTCGTCCCGGGATAGCCAGTGCCATTGCCGTTCTCGGGTGAGTTGCTGACGAAAGCAATGGTGACATAGTCGATGGCAGATGAGGTGCAGTACTGGCCAAGGGTATCACCAACACCTGATTGTCCCTTGAGAATGTAGTCAGTCTCGCGTCGCGGAACACACCGACCATTGACACACTTACCCAATAGGTGTTGAGCGGGTAGTCAGGGGTGAAGTCGAAGGTGGTATAGGCTGGGACAGCCGACACGACACTGACATCCATCTTCGAGGTTATTAAGAATTAGATACGATAAGAGATCGTAAGGTGGCCAAGGCCGTAACGAATGTGGTGATCGGATTGGCTCAATGAAAGGACGCAAACAAAATGTCTGCAACGGCTGGCTATGGTGCCGCTTCTTGTCGATTCGACTACTCGTGATGAGGAGAGAAGGATGGGAAAGGAAGCAAAGCAAGGGAATCACCAACTGGAGGTTATGAGGTCTCCCCGTAGTCCCCATAGTCTGGCTATCGACAGCCATATTGGGCGTAGCCTGGCCATCCTGTCAGAATGGGGGAGACTCTGACCTGACCGAGATAGGCAGTAATTCAGTGAGCCCACGTGCATCTCCTGTGATGTGTGCCATGCTGCCACACTGTGAGTGCATGCTTGACGCAGCACAACCACGCAGTCAGCGCAGTCAGCGCAGCCGGGGATATGGGGGCCAGCTAATTACCTGCCTGTCGTTGAGCGTCAGCCCAGACCCGCCCTGTCGGTAACCTACCTGCGTAGAAGCGCGTAGACTACGGACTGCAGTCGATATAGTGAACGGATCATATCAGGAACAGGTATAGAGCCGGGCTGAAGCGTGGGGCCGTGGTCGAAGGCACGTTTAAGGGGGGTAGATTGACAGATGATTGGCCATATCCATGGAGAGATAGATAGAGTGAGGCTGTTGGGACTTATTCGGAACCATGTAAGCACGCCAACGCCCCGTCGGATAACAGCCCGACATGGAGTTAACTGAAATCCATTAGCAAAGAACGGGGACGCAAAACAAGGAAGTGACCTGTGCTGTCAGGGCTGTGTGTGCCAGCATGGGTGAGGCTCGCTGAAACTGAGCTTGTTCAATGGAGAAAGTCGCGCAGAGGAAAAGATCGTCGCATCCCGCCAACGACATGCCAAGAATACGATCACTGACGGCTCTGTGACCAGAGCCGTCATTTCTCACACAACCTCCCTTGGATGAAAATGTGACACCTCAACCATCCCGGGCCTCTCATCTCGCGCCTCCCATCTCGCGCCTCTCATCTCGCGCCTCTCATCTCGCGCCTCTCATCTCGCGCCTCTCATCTCGCGCCTCTCATCTCGCGCCTCTCATCTCGCGCCTCTCATCTTCCAGGACCGTCTTCAGCGAACCCGTGAATCAGAGTGGAGGCATTCCTCATCACATTGGCCCCTCAACACGTCTTGGCATGATAATTGCGCGCGTCTCGCTAAAGTCTACTAATGCCCATGATGTAGAAAGGCCGAAGAGAGAATGTGTGCTAGGGGCGGCAGCGAAAAGCTGTGCCGCGTTCGGTGTGGCGATGGCATGATGTTGGCGACGGGACTTCCGCTTTGGGAATAGAATTGTTCGCAAGCACATCCCTGTCGGTGAGGGTCGCTCTGATCTGCTCTTCGTCAATACCTACCCACGTATTCAGCGAGTCACTTGACAGGTGCAGAGGTGTTCTATCAGCAGACATGGCATATCGTCAGTTCATCACCATAAATACCACTCACAGATAAAGCACGGATCGCATGCCACGAACCAGACCGCAAAGGAGAGGGCATCGCGAACGTCGGTCTCCAACACCCTCAGCCCGCCATGAGTCATTTGTGAGACTAAACAGGAGGGCCCTGGCTACCACTGACACATGTCAGTCATCCTTAGGTAGATCCACCGCGGCGGCACCAGCTGGTTGGTCGCGAGATGAGCCTTACGGGGCTCACCGGGCTGACGGGTTACAACGTGGGAGCGAGGTTTCTCATTGACATCAAGTGGATGTTGGTTCGTCTGGAGTGCTATCCTGTCCGGCGAGGCGGTCTAGGCACTAGCAAATCATGGGGTTGCAGTCGGAACCGAGGCTGCGAGGGCCGACTCGGCACGACTCATGACTGTGCAGTGTGCAGTGTGCAGGTGGTCCACGCAGTATAGGGCCAGCACCGTGTACATACGGTGCTGTCTGCCCTTTTCGCCTTTAGCAGGACACAACAACCATCCATTTGAGACTTGGACCGATAACAAGGTCCTACTTTTCACCATTGTAAATGTAAACAGATTATGGCGTTCAGGGACTCCATACTGACGTGTATCTTATACCCTTCTAAGATACCCTCTTAGGGAGACTTTTCGATGTGCGCTACCTAGCAGTACATATATGCAGTTGGTGGTCTCTCTCGTCTCCTGTCTGCCGGTGCGAGCCATGGGCGCAAGAACGCCTCCCGGGTATCACCGCGCTGCTAATTACCGATGTCACCTTGGCGCACCGGACCGACGGCGCTGGATTGGCTCACTGATAACGAAAGAGACAGGCTGACAGACGCCGTCTCTGCTATGTTATTGCCATGGTGTGCCCTCCGTTGCTGCAGCCTGTCGTTGGCCGGTTATCACCAATTCATTTGCCCTAAGGAGCGTTAAAAACCTACAGAAGCATATCATCTCGCCTGCTGTTGCTTGCTCGTCAGGTGTACTGGTAAATATGCTCGGCGGGTAGTAAGGACAGGTCTTGTATACAGAAAGAGGATGATGCCTCCTCCCGGGTGGGTTCGTTTCCCATGAGCAAGACATGGCGTGAGCTTCTCAATTCAAATAGAGTTATATACAGTACACCTTGAGACCCCCTGATACGCGTTGGACTCATGAATTCATGCATAAGGTCCGGTTATTTTATGCCGTGTCCAAGACCACCACCTCCGCCTCAGCCTCCCCAACGCTTTCGAAGGACAGCTTGTCACCGGCATTGACAGCATCAACGAAGGCTCCGTCTCCCTCACTAAAGATCTCCTCGCGGCCGTCCAAGCGGATCTTCGCCTTTCCCTTCTTGGTCATCGGGACATGAACGTAGACCTTCCTCTTGGTGGCCCCAGTCGCCTTGGCCCCTACAACCCACTCGAATTTCTGCTGCGGCGCGATGATGCCAGCGCCCATGACCAAGTCGGCGTGAACGGGAATCGTCCCTCCAATGGTGGGCTCGGCCGCCTTCTCCTGCTCGAAAAAAGCCTCCTCGCCACCCTTGAGCGGGCTCAGGATCGGGACGAAGCCCTTCCGCTTCTCCTCGTCGTCGAAGTGGCGTGTGTGGTATCTTGGGGCAAGACCACGCTTCCAGGGGATGGCCCAGATCTGGAGGAAGTGGACGGTGTCCTTGTGGTGCTCGTTCTGTTCCGAGTGCGCGATGCCCGTGCCGCCGGTGGTGAATTGGACGTCCCCGCGGCGCATCCGGTAGAACTGGTCAGACTGCGCCCCCTCGGCGCCCTTACGGAGCATGCTGTCCCGATGAGTGAGCTCCCCGGAGATGATGTACGAAAAGATCTCGAAGTCGCGGTGGGGATGCGTTGGGAAGCCCGAGTTCGCCTTCACGCGATCCTCGTTCAGCACGCGCAGTGAGCCGAAGTGAGTGAAGCGCGGATCAAACCAGTCGGCGAAGGAGAAGCTGTGGTACGTGTTGAGCCAGCCATGGTCCGAGTGGCCCCGTGTTGACGACCGGTGAGGCGTGATCTTGGCGTGTGATAGGGTCTTCGACATTGTGGTCTTGATAGCGTTCATGGACGGGTCTTGACTGCTGGAGGGTTCAATGCTTGAGATAGATGATACTGATGTTTGCGTTGAAGCTGCGTTGAAGCTGTGAGGAAGTCTCGAGGCTCCAGAAAGCGTGTCCTGTATGAAAGTCTTGACAGTTGGTGAACTATAGACTGACTTATGATTCCAGAAGAGACAAGATCGTGGGGGTGCGCCTCTGAGATTGGCAAGCGATTGGCGATGATTGGAAACAGGCTGACTTAAAACTTTGATCGAGTCCACGATTCTTGTGTTCAATGGAAACGTTTTGTTTCGCCTCATCATCGAAGTTTCTGCTCTTTGGTGTTGATCATGGACGGGCCTAGACTAGGCGCTTTGCTTACGAGCGATTAGCTCATGCTGAATGATGTTGAAAGAGCCCCGCCACTCCATTACCAAGGAGAATGAGCTTCGTGTCATTGGTCAATTGCCACGTGGTCGATGTCGGTCCCACATGCACTCTTGGATCTGGGACGATTGCATCAGACAACGGGCTGCAGCCATGCACGATCTTTGGTCATGTTCCCCTGAGAATTGAAGTGACTTTTCTGCTGGCTCTCAAACCCCACCGCCCCACTTGCTGCATGTGAGCCCGACCAGCATTGATACTCTGTACCTGGTAATTGGTCATCAGTGGAACGCGAGATTGATAATGGTGGGGGAGGTTCAGACGGGAACAAGCCACCCCGCCGATTGTGCACGGACTCTTCCGTGAGCTGTGCACGATCTAACGGAAGAAAGTAAGACCAAGGCTTGTTGAGGTCCAGACAAAAAAATCAAACGGGTTTCTGACTTCTCATAAAATATTCCTTCCTACTGCGCTCACACCTCCTACGCTGCGCTTCCCTCCAGACAGACTCGAGATTCTGAAGAGACCTTCCATCAACTACAACACTACCGTACCATACGATTTGGTTGGGGTTTCTGAAAAGGACAAGGTACGTTGCATACGCTTCTTCTGTCTCAGAGCAGGATGCGGGAGTCATTGTCACGAGATGCTTCCCCGGGTACGGACTGGCCGGCCTCCAGATGGCAAAATCGAGCTGGTGTCATCTCGATGGAAGGATGCCATGGCGGAACATCCCACTCTGACGCTGACTCCTACACCTGGCTCAGCCCTACGATTTCTATGATGAGCAAAATTTTCTTTTCAAATGTTCGACTTCTGATCATCCATGAGGACACACATACTCTGACCATCACACATCGCTCTCACATTGCCAGCCGAAATATCTTCCTGGGTACATCGCTGACTCGTGCGTTATCCATAGGCCTATGATATTTCGCCATTCCGACTGTCTTCCTGTCAAGGCGAGCGGTCGTGGGTAACCCTCCTGACACGAGGCTCGGTATTTCCATACGAGACTACAGACGAAGTCCCTCTCTCTCCAGCAGAGATCACCTCGTTGGTAAGTATTGTGATATCACCCTCCCAGTAACGACCTGGATATAGCGGTCACCACGACGTCCAAAGCCTCTTTCCATGGCTCTGGTTCAACGAACTTAATTGGCCGTCGCTGCCGAGGACAATTAGCCTCGCCGTACCGGTTTGAACTCCCTAGATAATCCCCAACATCGCATGACATCGGTCTTTCCTATGTGACCGCTGAGTGCTGGTCCCTGATGGGACACGCATAACTTCCCCCGCTGCATATCCTCCTCAACATAGTGCTACACTTTAGGTAGACCTACATAGAACATACTTTACTGTGCTCAGCTTGGAAGTCCATCCGTCTGGTGCTTGTTCACATGAACTGACAAACTTCGAAACCCCTTGCTCGCCAAGCTCCGTGATATCCTTGGGACGCCCTTCTAGGAATTGGTCGTGTGTCTTCCCGAGCCTCCGTGATCATGAGCAGCAGGTATTCGGTTCGCCTACTTGCAGCTCTGGGTCAAGCTACTCGAAGCTTATGTGATCTCTCATCAGCGGCCATCTATAGGCCCGTCTCGACGCCCGTTGCCTACGGCCTCGAGGTCCTTGTGGAACGATTGGGACTCGGACGCGCATTCGGGTCGGCTTCTTCACCAGCCAACTGCTATCCCATCGCTCGTATGAGCCCCGAAGCCAAGTGTTCCTTCGTGGCTTCGTTCTCTACGTCGGCTGGTGTCGCATAGAAAAGGTCGGGAGGCACGAACCGTTACTGGTCGTAGATAACGGGTCAGCAATCTTCCATTGGTGATTGGAATGATGATACTCAATTGTCAATAGGCTGGCCTCACAACTAGAGGCCTCCCAGGCCTCCTCTTTCTGTTTGGTACCGCAAACGGTCGCATTCTCCCGGTGGCAAGGAGATTGTAAGTAGGCAAAGAGGAAAATGCGCTGGAGGCATGCGACAGGAGACGAAGCCCTAGGGCTGGGCTGCTTGGCTTCTTCTACCGTTTAGTAATGCCTACACAGTCGTTGCTGGAGCTGGAGCTGGAGCTGCTGGTGGCAATGTTTGGAAATACAGCGCCAACCACCAGCGCTGAAAGGAGGCAAGACGTGCTGGCTTTATCTGCCCACCGCTTTCATTGCAGCAGTACCCAATGGCACCGTTCACATTGTGGTTACAGCATACTCTTCATCTCAAGAATCTCTAAATCACGCCTGGCCCGGGCAGCATTACCTGGCTGTTTTCCCGAGATATTTGCGCCTCGGTGCTGTCTCGAGCCTTTATATAGAAATCACAAGAAGCATTTCTGACCCGGGGCTTTTCATTATCGATTAGAAGATGCTGTGAATTCTGCCCATACCTGCTCTGTGTTGTCGCCAGCCTGGTAGTGGACAGAGCAATGCAGCTAGGTACCTAGTTGACCTGTATTTTGAGAGAACTGCTTGCTGGTATCCGCCTACGTGCACGTGCCCACTACTCACATATGTACAAGACTCTACTTCCAAAGGGCATTCATTCCTCTGTCCCAGCCTACGTGAGTCCTAAGTGACTGGCAAACCCCACTGTGAACAAACTGAGCAATGCCGTTCATCTGATGTTCTGCGGCAGGCACGACTTTTTCTTGTTAGGGTTCAGCCAATAGTTACCCGGACCACCTACTTCCATCCCACCCGCCAACCTCGGACCAGCACCGAGCAACTACCACACACCTGTTTCCTCAAACACCAACACCAGAAAAATCTCAATCCGAGAAGGCGACATACATACTTGCGATCGTCACCATCTCACTGCCGTCATTCTCAGCCTTTGGCACAACAATCTCCAGATCAATTGTTGAGCACACGGCAATTTTCCGCTTCGGGTCACATCATCTCCTTCACCCGACTTTCTACACGCCATCTTCACCATCTGACAGACTTGATTCCCACGCATCGTTGGTCACGGCACCACATCTACTTTATTGCCCTTCTTGCGCAATCGTTTTTGCGCGCTTACCATCTCTCTACACCATCGTCCTCTCGCCAGTCTCCCTCGCGCGATCATCCTCGTGGCATCCACCTCGTCCCATCGTCTCCAATGGTCTTCTACTGATGACTCTCTACCTAAGCACCAGTTCCTACTGATGGTTCGCTGCGGGGTCTTCTCTGCAGGTGCTCTCTAGGTGGTGACACACGCAATTCTCATATCTCGTGAGAGCGACACTCCACAAACGACAATCTACCTCAACGGGCATTGTTATATCGGCATCACCCCATACGGCACCGAAATCTATAGGCGATACTTACAGATCTGCGCTGCAGGCTTCTCCCAAGTTGCCTACTCCCGCCTTTGGAGATCCGATGACCTTACCTTACATTACCCTGGCTACCTTCGTACTGGTCTGTGTCATCCAATTCACGGCTTTCCTCCTCTCCGTCGTTGCGACCTTGGTTTTGCTCGTTGCTATCTTCGCTATCAGCATCTACAAGATCAGTCCGTGCGCAATCGTTGGTATCTATCGGAATCTGTCTTTCCACTACGACGTTCCTGACCGCCGTCCTTGGCTCTACGCTGGGATCTTCCTCTACGTGGCTTTTGCTGCTATTGTATCTGTTAGGCGCCTGCTGGCTGTGGTCAGGAGCGCTTATCGAAGACAGGGTGAAAGCATATCGTTAAGCCCAAGCCTAAATACAAGATGCCTCCGAAGCGTGGTCGCAAGACTCCGGCTGTCCCCGTGAGGGGCGGGTGGGATGTGCTCCCGCACAATATGGGCACAGTGCCCGCTAGCACCGGCGTTCGTACACCGGCCTCAAAGGAAACTCGAACCGAAACGCGCGCTGAGGTCGCCGAAGAGGATCAGATGGAACCTGTCATCGATGCCACGGTTCACCAAGGACGACAGCTTCGACCGCGCAAGGCAGGGGTTGCAACTGAGTCCGTCATAGCTGTCGCCCCAGCTGATGGCGAGGGTCCAAAGGAAACACAAACTGAAACGCCTGCTAAGGCAATCGAAGAAGATAAGGAGAAATCTGTCATTGATGACTCGATTCACCACGGACGACAACTTCGACCGCGCAAGGCACGAGATGTAGCTGAGTCCACTTTTACTGCCAACCCAGCTGCTATCGAAAGGGGCACCAAGAAGCGCAAGCGACGCACAGTCATACCCTGGGTCGAGTCAGATGACGAAGGCGAAAGAGCCGATCAGGTCCCGAAGCCGAAGGCGCAGAGGCGCAAGCCCACAAAGAAGCCCGACATCGACCAAGACATTAAAGATGGCGATGCTGAGCAGATCGCCGAACCAAAGAAGCGGAAGCGCCAGACTGCAAAGAAGTCCGACATCGTTGACATTGACCAAGTCTTTGAAGATGACGATGTTGATCAGGCCGCTGAACCGAAGAAGCAGAAGCGCCAGGCCGCAAAGAAGCCCGACATCGATGAACTCTTCCATGACTTTGAATATAACAACGCTGAGCAGGCCGCGAACCCAAAGAAGCGGAAGCGCCAGGCTGCAAAGAAGTTCGACATCGACAACGTCGACCAAGACCTTGAAGATAACGACTTTGAGCAGGCCGCCAAACCGAAGAAGCGAAAGCACAAGGCTACAAAAAAGTCCGACATCGACCAAGACTTTAAAGACGACGACGATGAGCAGGTCACGAAGGCAAAGAAGAAGCCCGCAAAGAAGGCCAACCCGTATGGCTTGATGCCAGGACAGACTCCGTTTCCTGACCATGAAGCGCCTACCGCAGAACAGTGTGAAGAGGTATACCGACTCCTCGCAACACTGCACGACGATGTGCAACCTCAAGCACCTGAGGTCATCCCTGCACCTTCTCTAGAAGTGACTGGATGTGGAGAGGTACCCTTTGTCTTAGATGCTTTGATCAGAACCCTGCTGAGTGGCGCTACAACCTTTGCGAACGCAGCGAAGATGCTCACAGGCCTGATCGAGAAATATGGTGTCCTCGAGGAAGGTCCCGGCAAGGGAAGCATTCACTGGAACAAGGTCAGACTGTCGCCGATGGAGGAGGTAGCCGCTGCTATTCGTGCAGGAGGTTTGGCCACCATCAAGGCAAAGAGCATCAAAGCCATTCTCGACATGGTCCATCAAGAGAATGCCGAGAGACGCGCAGCCTACATCGCCGAGAAGGAGACCGGTCAACAGGCAAATATCTTGGGTGCCCCTGAGAAGACTGATGGCCAGAAAGAGCTGGAGATCCTGAAGGCTGAACAAGACATCCTCTCGCTCGACCATCTGCGTGGCTTGTCGGCTGATGAAGCTATGCAGGAGTTCATCAAGTATCCCGGAGTTGGCGTCAAGACTGCAGCATGCGTCATTCTGTTCTGCCTCCAGATGCCCTGCTTCGCTGTGGACACGCATGTCCACAAGTTCTCGCACTGGCTTGGCTGGGCTCCGGAGAAGTCAACTGAGAACCAGGTGTTCATGCACCTGGAGGTCCGATGCCCCGAAAAGCTCAAGTATGGCCTTCACCAGCTTTTCATCCGACATGGCCAAACTTGTGGCAAGTGCAAGAGAGCAACGGCTGAGGGTACAGAGGAGTGGAAGGCTATTGAGTGCCCTCTCGAACACCTCCTCGACAGATTCGATAAGCGCCAGACCAAGGCCCTGCCGAAGCCCAAGAAACGAGTCAAGACCGAGGACGAGGATGTCGACGTGAAAGAAGAAGAGGCGAAGGAAGAAGAAGAGGTGAAGGAAGAAGAGGTGAAGGAAGAAGAAGAGGTGACGAAAGAAGAAAAGGAAGAAGAAGAGGTGACGAAAGAAGAAAAGGAAGAGGAAGATGCACAGATGGAGGCAGGTGCCCAGGCCAGTGCGAGCCTTCTCCTGGTTGCATCTTCTTCTGCACATTCTGAGTAGTTGGCATCGCTGCCTACCTATCCTAGATACATTGTTCGAGTAAATAACCGAAAATACAACGAGCTTTGGCCCGATGTCCAAGTTCCAAATCATATGCCGTGGGATAAGCAAGCTATTTGGTGATTATTCTAGCAAACTCCAGATGGGATAACCACTATAATTAAGTGATTATGTGAGTAAGTTTCTCGTATCTGGCTGTAGACGGTAAGGGTCCCAGTAACCCGGCCGTTTGGCCTGGGCCGGGCTTCACAGTGGTTGGGGGGTTCTTGGTACAGGAACCCCCGAGTCTGACTGGCATCCGTGGCAGCGACCGCACTGGAGCAGTGGCAACTGCAACACCGACCACGTCTACCTCAGCAAAACCGTAAAGTTACTGAGGCGGGCCTGGTCAATCCGAGGCGTCACACCGGCCAGGGCCATTGCATCGGTAAGTGAACTGACTGTGCATCCTCGGGGGATAGCATTGCTGACAGAATGTCCCATACTTCCATGCTCGAACTTTCGGTGACGACTCGGATAGCTATATCTGCTCTGGAGGCTTCGGCTCAAACACTGTTCCACCGGAGTCCCTCAACATATGACAGTGGTTTGAGTCGTGTAGCGCGTCTCCATTTCCCGGGATGTGGAAGCGGTTCATAAGATCATATTGGCGATTGGCGGCCAGCCGACGTAATATGGGGGTTATCTGTACATGATGATAGACAAAGGGTGGCAGCATTCCGGGATGGGTTCAGGAGTTGAGTATAAAAGTCTTGAGCACCTTCATATACTGCTGACGTGGGCTATGAAACCGTCAGGCGTAGAGATGAACATTTTCTCGTGCTACTCGTCTGTATAAGCTTGCTTGCTAGCTAGCTACAGTGGCTACAGTGGCTACAGTGTAATAGCATCTCCCTGGATAGCAGAATTGCAGAACCGCAGCATCGCAGAATCGCAATGGGATATTGTCACATTGATGAATGGTGGTAGAGGACAGAGGATATGGAAGATGTGTTCTTAGCACCCTGAGATGTCAGGTGTGTTGGGAAGGTCACATGCGAGCACTTGGCGCACCTGGCGCACCTGACACACCTGGCGCCACCTGCAGACACTTTAAGCCGTTCTTATCGATAAAGATCTCACCAAGCCAATCTGGCACATCCCGTCTCCGTCTGCAAGTCCTCCAACTTCACGTGTCGCCGACCGCATCACCACCTCCAGCCCGGCTTCTCTGCCTGTTATTTGTGCCGGACCTGCCCACCTCTGTACCCAGCCGTCCATACCTTTGTTATTACATGGATGTGCACTTCTTATCTAATATCCATTCTTTCCTTGTGACATTTCAGTTTGCAGCTGCGCAGCTGCGGTTTCCTTGCTCCGCTTTAACTTTTATTAGGTTGGTGACCTCTCCTCTGCCAGCTTCTACCAGTTTGAAGCTCCCCTCCCTTCTCTGTTGCCTCAACGACCCAACTCCCCAACTCTAGAGCCTGAGGCAATCTGAGCTTTGCCATACTCCTCCAGCTCCATCTATTTCAAGCAGGAGTCCTTCTTACTGCTGTACCTCACAAGTCCTTATCATCCCACATCAAGAGCAGACCTCGGATACCACAAGGCGGATTTTGCAGAAGCTGAAGCTTTCCACTTCCGCTGCACTGGTCATTATCCCTTCACCTACCCGCGGATAGGTCTGCAAGCCTTTCTAGATAAGGGCAAACTGTGCAGGCACCGCTTTCTCGCACACGCGAAACCTCGATCGATCCTCCGCGCTCTCCTCTTCCACCCACCGACCCGCCCCGACCCACCGATACACCGACATGCCCAACGCGATCCAACATGGAAGAAACCAACACTGTTCTGGCGAAAGCCTTCGTAGACCTTTCCAATATCTTCCCCGAGATACACCTCTTCTGCCCCAAGATTTCGGAACAAGATGAGGAAGTTTACGAAGATTCCAATGCGGATACCAAACTCAGTGCTGCACAGAAGGAGCAGAGAATACAGGATGGCACTCAGAGACTAGATCTGATGTATTCCTGCTCTCTGATCCTAGGTATGGAGAAAGATGCTGCAGGGCAATTTGGTCAACAATTCGCGACGAGGTGTAACGACTTTCTCCGAACTTGCCCGACCTGTGTGCGCAACTGGCACAAGGCCCGTCGGCCCTTCCTCAAGGACCTCACCCAGTAAGCCCTAACCCTAGAGTCGTCACTCTATCACATGATGTTGACCTGTCGACCAGATGGTACAATGATGAGATCGTCGCTGAATTGGAAAAACGCCTGAACCAATTCGATTTCGACCGAATCACCACGGGTCTCGATGCAGCTCGGGACTTCATCCTCAGGCACGAAGCTGTGGTTACTCAAAGCACTTTCGTTAAGGAAGGAAATGCCGAGCTTCTCGTTGCCCTCTACGAGGCGATCTGCTGCATGCCGTACTTGAGCATACCCGAAAACCGCAAACATTTCAACTATGTCTTCGAGAAGATTCAGGAGCGGAAGATCCTGAAGTTGGACCAGCTACTGCCGACGACCACGTTCTTTCTATTTGACGAGGATGTGACTCGCAATCGCTTCGCCGTTCATACATTTGAACAAGGTCCTCTCGTCACCAAGGAAGACTTTGACTGGGCGGTCGACAAGAATCTCGAGAATGCAATTCTGAAGGCGAATGATGTTAACGCCGACGTTAACTTTCTCCAGCGTTTCTGGCAAGGCTTTCTCTACATTTTGGATGCTCTGGACGAGAACCTCGTGGTAGAGTCTTTGCGGGGTATGACCGTTCAGCCAAGCATCTACGATCTACTGCTTGCCCAGATCCCACGGATGACGTCGGCCCCCGTGTTGAAGTTACTTCTGAAGGCCTTTCGCGCCCTTCTCAAAAAGTCTTCCAAGGCATTTTGGGATTCGTATAGCCAGTTTTCTCCTACATCCGTCCTGGAACAGGTTATCAGGAGCCCAGCCTTTCGCCCTTTACTGAGTCAATCCGGCCCACATGACATAACCACCGATGGCCCAGTGGCCATCTCCTGGGTCAAGCCTTTCGTAGAGTCTATCTCAACGAACCAAAAGACGGATGTTTGCGATAAGCTAGTCCATCATCTACTCGGTGATTTTGCCGTAGATCAGAACATGTCCTCTGAGGGCAAGGTCGCGTGCCGGCGTGGGGTTGTAGAAGCCCTCTCGTCTTCGCTGGCAGGCTTCGTCTCCCCCAAGTACAAGATCCACGCGGGGTCTTCCACGATTCACACCAATGCCTTATTGAACCTAACCTTGAAGCACAAGGATCTGATCATACAGCTTTCTCAGCTTGAGCCCGCGGACCAGCAAAGCACCGCGATGTCGCAGGCCGGTTTGTCTGTAATCCGGTATGCCTTAGCTCTCGACTCCAAGATTACGAGCGAGGAGTGCAATGCAATCCATGCAAGCGACAAAAATGTGCAGCGAGAGGTTCGACGGGACTCTGCGGGCATTTGGGAAGCCTTCCTCGAGATTCTCCAACCGGGCGCCTTCGAGCTTGCTAAGGCCATGCTCGCTGCCTTTGTTCCGCTTATCACCGTGGAAATCTTTCGCCCACCGAAGAGACAAGCCTTGTCATCAACCAAACGAGACTTCAATACCGATTTCCAGAAGACTACCGAGGTGATAGGTCGTGTCGTTGATCGTTTAGAGGATTTCGATTCTGCCACGCTAGGGCGACTATGCCTCGACTCTACGACGATCTACCCCATCGTGGCGGCCTTGATTCATGGCGAAGACCCTGTCAACCAAGCGGGTACATCCTTCATCAAGGCTGTCACGGGGGAGGAGAGGCGAGCTGGAGCAGTGCTCAAGCTACTTGAGCGGTTCTTTGTCCCAGCACTATCTGCTTACACCACCGCCGTCAACGATATCACCAAGAAGAAGTCACTCTGGTCACCGCAGTTTCACATCCTTAAATACTCTGGAGAAATTCTCAGCAGTCTATGCGATCCTTCATCTGGCATATTACGATCTAGGAGTCTGACTTCTGCTGAGCAAGAAGTACTGGGTAGATGGTGGTCCTCGCAGTGGGAGTTACTGGATAACGCTTTCAACCAGACGGACGGATGGAGTCGTATGATCGAAATGGACACCATGAAGGACTTCTGTAGGGACGCAATGGAGCATGCCGATGCTCTATTAGCCCAGGACGGGCTACTCGCCTCGGCACAGAGCTTCGGTTCTTCACATGCCACCTCAGCCGGCGACTCGAAGCAGGCCATGAGGGACATTCTAGAGCAGCCACGGAAGAACTGTATGGGACTGTGCAAGATGCTCCGACTCAAGGATATCTACCTGGTCAGCGTCATTGTCCGCGTTCTGGGCAAGCTCCTCAGGCGCCTTGTAGAGTATGGCATGGAAGTTCCGTCGCAGCCGTTGGCTTATATCAGGGGTACCTGCATCAAGAACCAGCAGGGTAAATATGACACCCCCACCAACATGAACGGACAACAACGTGCCGAGTTGGTCAGGGCTTTAGGTGAGGAGGAGGCAGGAGACGACGTCCAGATCCTTTCCGTTAGGAAAGCTGAGGGTCTCAAGAAGCAGACGAGGATCGACGCATGGTCCAAGTCCGTTGACAACGAGCCTAGTGCAGTGCCCAAGGAAAAAATACCGGTCAGGTCTAGCAAAGATGATATCCGTGACTTGCTCAAGGCCTCCTCTTCCGAGGAGAACCGCTCTACGTTGGACCAGATTAGGGCACGGCAGGCTACTAAGCCTCTGGCCAAGCCTCCCCCTATATCCACTATACCGTCCATACGCGAGAAGCGCGCAAAGGAGGCCGAAGAAAAGCGCAAGCGAGATGCCGAGGCCATCGCCAAGGCCAAAGCCCTCCGTGCTCCCAAGCAGATTGTCAGTGGTGAGGGATCAGGTCTTCAGGGCCTCTCCGGTGTTCATGGCAAGGACCATGCCCCCCAGAAAAGCGAAATCATGGTCAACTCATCGTCGGAAGACGAGGACGATTCTGATGATGCTGAGTTCCTAGCGAAGACTGCGGCTGGGCAGAGGCGCGGCGAAGATGTGTCCAAACGCATCCAGGCAATGAAGTTGAACCCTCGAGGACCTGTGAAGAAGGTCAAAATTCAGCGATCTGCCAAGGATATGCGGGCGCGACTTGTTCCTCCTATGGACATCCTGCATCAAGCCATCCTCGAGTGGGACATCTTTCACGACGGCAATGACCCGCCGAACGGGATCACGTGCTCCAAGGTGTCTGATTCGTATTCGGACCCTTCGGAATACAAGCAGACCTTCTTGCCTCTGCTGATCAACGAGGCATGGCGATCCTTTGTGACCGCCAAGAACGAATCGACATCGAAGCCCTTCGGAATCAAGGTAGTAAATCGAATGAGCGTCGACAAGTTCATCGAGGTCAGCACCGCGATGCCTAAAGCGGAGAACAAGGATAAGTTTCTCGCGGAAGGAGACATAATCCTTTTCTCGCATGCATCAAACCCTTTGATGGGAGGAAGAGATGAACTCCATTGCCTTGCTCGCATTTGGCGAACACAGTTCAAGAACGGCAGCTTGGAGATACAGTACCGCTTGAGTAGCCGTGCTGGCCCTATACTGCAAACACTTATGCCACAGTCCGAGCTCTTTGCTATCAAGATCACGAACATGACGACTATTGAGCGTGAATACGCTTCTCTCGAAAGTCTCCAGTATTACGATCTAGCACCTGAAGTCCTCGAAGCGAAGCCGTCGCCAATGCTCAAGTTCAGTCCCGAAGCTGTTGAGAAGACTATGCAGAATTACCATCTGAATACCGGCCAGGCCAAGGCCATCCTGAATGCGAAAGAGAACGACGCGTTTACTTTGGTTCAAGGGTGAGTATTTCTGGATAGACAGACTTGAATCCTAAGCTAATTGACAAAACAGACCTCCGGGAACTGGCAAAACCAAGACAATTGTCGCCATGGTCGGCGCACTTCTGACAGGCAACATGTCTGTTTCCGGCGGTACTGCAATCAAACGACCAGATGGTCTGGGATCCATCGGCAGCAAAGGGACATCGATCGGCAGCAAAGGGACATCGAAGAAACTCCTGGTTTGCGCGCCAAGTAACGCGGCCGTTGACGAGCTAGTTCTGCGTCTCAAGGCGGGCGTCAAGTCCACAAACGGGTCGTTTCACAAGATCAATGTCCTACGCCTCGGGAGAAGCGATGCGATCAACGCAGCCGTGAAGGATGTCACATTGGATGAGTTGGTAAAGGCCCGAGTCGAGGGCCATGCTGCTCAGAACAATGGACCGACCTCTCGAGAGTTGATGCACAAGGAAGCTGGAGAGATCAAGACAGGTCTTGCGGAACTACGCCCCCGACTTGAGGCGGCTAGAGCCACTGGGGATCGCGCACAAATCAACCAATTGCAGCGCAAGTTCGATGAGATGAAGCGTCGCCAGGCACAGATTGGTTCCAAAATCGATGCCGATAAAGATTCCGGAAACACCGCTGCGCGCGAGAATGAGATCCGTCGCCGACAGATCCAGCAGGAAGTTCTAGACTCAGCCCATGTCCTTTGCGCCACACTCAGTGGTAGTGCTCATGATATGTTCAAGAACCTGGCTGTCGAGTTCGAGACTGTGATCATTGACGAAGCAGCGCAGTGTGTGGAGCTCAGTGCTCTGATTCCACTCAAGTACGGGTGCTCCAAGTGCATCCTCGTAGGTGACCCGAAGCAGCTACCGCCCACTGTGCTTTCGCAGTCTGCAGCGCGTTTCGGGTACGACCAGAGTCTGTTCGTCCGTATGCAACGGAATCACCCAGAAGACGTTCACCTACTCGATACACAGTATCGAATGCATCCAGAGATCAGCCAATTCCCAAGCCAGGAGTTCTATGAACGACAACTCTTCGACGGCGACGATATGGGCAAACTTCGTCAACAACCATGGCATCAATCTGCTCTCCTGGGCCCCTACCGCTTCTTTGACGTCAAGGGTTCTCAAGAGCGAGGGCGCTCAGGTCAGTCCCTCGTGAACCACGAGGAACTGAAAACTGCCATGCAGTTATATGAGCGATTCCGAACCGACTATCCAAACGTCGACGCGAAAGGCAAGATCGGAATAATCACGCCGTACAAGGCTCAACTGTTTGAGCTTCGTGATCAGTTTTCCCGGAAGTACGGCGATGGCATCAAGGACATCATCGACTTCAATACGACCGATGCTTTCCAGGGTCGAGAGTGCGAGATTATCATCTTTTCCTGTGTCCGTGCCAGTCCGACTGGTGGCATTGGATTCATGAGGGATATCCGACGTATGAACGTCGGTCTCACTCGTGCAAAGTCCTCACTGTGGATCCTCGGCGACTCGCGAGCTCTGGTGCAGGGCGAGTTTTGGAACAAACTGATCGAGAATGCCAAGGTGAGGGATCGTTACACCACAGGCGATATTATGTCTATGCTCCGCAGACCCGGAGCTAAAGCGGCCCCTCCTACTTTCAACAGCCCTGCGCCCTCAGCAGCTCCAATCTCTCAGCTGCCGAGTCCCCGAGACACGGTCATGGGAAACAGCGGTACGGTCAGCCGGTCATCGAATAACAACCTCCCAAAGCCCACCAGCGGCAATGGAACCAATGATGTGACTATGAGAGATGCTCCTCCCTTCCGCGGTCCGGTTAACAGACCCAGACCTCCCAAGTTGTCACAATTCGGTGGCCTCAACGAGCGTGGCGAGCCGGCAACAATCTCAAGCCCGACATCAGATAGACCGATCATTCATCAATCGGGTCAAAATCAATCTGGTCAAAAGCGGGCAAGGGACGGTGCTGACGATGGGAAAGCACCGAAACGGGTGAGTCAACCAATCGAGAACAATTATTGACATGGTAACTTATCCTTGGTGTCACAGGTTGCAACCGCGTCATCAGGCTTCAGGATGCCACCAAGCGCACCTCGAGCAATGCAACGACCGCAGGATCCATCGGCAATGTCTGTCTTGGGAATTCCACAAACCCCTTCTTCGTCGTCTGCCAGCAGGCCGCCTCAACCGCCTGCAAACGCACCACGGGTTAGTTTTCCGCATCCTTTGATATCGCAGACAAGCTAACATTTCCGATAGGGCCCGTCAAATGGCCAACGCCCACAAGCGCAACCCGTGAGGAAGAGGCCTTCTGCTGATCCCTTCATCAGACGGAAGCCGAACAAGCCTCCCCGAGGTCCTTAGTAGGCACTCATTTGGTGTCTCTCTGACTCTTCCATGGATCATTCGGCGAATCAAAACCTAGACGGACGAAGATTTGATCTACTTTCACCGCATTGTCGATGAAACCCAGGGCCGAGAAACGTCCACTGATTATTTCAGGAGTCACCTTGCGGCTTTAGCATTGAACAGAGTCCATCCATCAAATGATAATGGCCCCATTTACAGAGGGTCAGCAGGATGGAGAGCTTGCGAGAGCATGAAAGCATGGTGGCATTCGCACAGGCGTTACGGAGGCGTATGGATTTCATATCCGAAGGCCATGGTTGATTCGGCGCGTTGCGGCTTGCATATTTGATACCCGGTCTCGATACTCTCCGTAGTCTGGTTCAGGACATGGTTGATAGAGGAGTCGGCAGGTCTCGGTAACTACGTAGATGCTTTGATAGTCGGGCACTCAAAGTCGCCAGGCAGAATTGTTGTGAGCTCTTTGAGAAGAGGGCTAGTATGGGTAAGTACGCGTGCTAGTCTGTGTTTCCGTGACTTGGACCGATTCCGTGATGTGTACTTGGGAATGTGAGTGTTCGGCGTCGGATTCGGCCAGCGATGACTGGACTGTGGAGAATGGCTTATGTGGCTGCCTTCAAAGGCGCAGCGACCTCATGTCGTGGCCAGCCATCCGCAATACCCCTTCACCCACCTCTGTCTCAAATCGGATAGTCTTCGCCTCTTTTCAGAGAAGCTCGTCTCTGTTCGCTTCGGCTGCTCCGAATGCTTCCAGTGGGGACAGGTTTTCATCTGGCGTGCCGTCGATACACTGAATCCCCATCAGCATATTTTGGCGTGCTCATCTCCGTCCAGCCTCTTGCCCAGAATCGGAGAAGCCCTATAACCCTGATAACCCTTTTAACCCCTAAATGTACGCGTGAGGGACGGACATTTCCTAGCATCGCCCAAGTGATTGGATTGACACCACGAATCCAGTGGTACTGGATGATCGTCCAATCGTATACATCCAGGCCAGTGTCGTCGTCCTTACTCCACAGTCAATAGCAGTTGTTCTCGTCTGTACAGCAAGGAGAATTCCTGAATCGGAATACTTGGTCCCCTTTGGAATCCGTTTTGCCGTCCATGGGAACCCCATGATCTCCTGCTGGGCAAGCTCGGAGTTGACGAACGACATCGCCTGGACAGCCGTGTACCACCCTCTATATTGGTTGACCGGATGTTACAGCGACATTGCGGGGTGTTGGATACCTAGCTGTAATGCATCGGGTCGTATGTAGTGTCACCCTTGGTTGACACGGTCCTGACAGAGACCTGCAGGCCCCTTCATCGCATATTTCGACAACCGCGCTCCCTTATCGACAAGGCGGCGGGCGATATTGACGATAGAGTCTCGAAGAAGGCGAAGCTCTTAGACACCCGGTGGTCAAGACAGTATATGTTGGCTCTCCTAGACTGCTCTTGGCGGTTCACGATGGAGTCTGATCGCAGATCAATCGAACGAACTCTTTTTGGCTGTACCATCATCATCGACTAAGATGCGGATTGACTTATGCATAGGACGTCGAGAAGCTGAGCATCCATCGATTATCCAATTCGCTTAGACGCACCGGTTGCGAGCCAAGACTTCGCCAGGCCTGGCTCCTTTTCCTTCGGACCTAGCTCCCTCCGCAGGGGATGCTACTACAGCTTCGTATGCCGCATCGCCCGTCACCCGCATCCCGGCTCGTCGCATCTGACCATCGCAACGTCCATCAAGAAGCCGTCAGTTGGTTGTCTCTCTGTCAGTTGTGTTAGAAAATCTCAGCTTGGCACCAAGTTGTCTCGTCTGAGTGCCCGCGAGAATGAGCCGAAGCCGGAATCCTGCCTATCCAAACCAGCCCGAGGCAGCGCTTGACCTCTCTTCCGAGCCGTGTGGAGGAAATCGGGTGCCGTAAAGGCGGGTTGCGCAACCCTGACACCGTCGACCTCCAGTGCTTTCACCAATCCCGGCCACTGAACGAAGACCGAACCGTCCTTGATGCTGAACTTTGTGCGCTCGACGTGCGGTACGATCTCCCCCATGGACTCGATGGAGAAGGACTCGCCTCGCGGTGCTCCCGCGAAGGTGGTGTCAGCTGGTATATTCGATGGGATCGAATCCGTGTTCTTCGAAGAGGATGCGGAGCTGTATTGTTTCCCCGGTCGTGGAGCCTGTCTCATGGAACTGGAGGCTGTGGGACAAGATGCGGAGGACGGAGTGCTTGCTGGTTTGGGCGCGGTCCTTGTCGACTATCTGGTTGGTGGTGCGTGTGCGGTTTCGACGTTGCCGTCGTACTCGTGACTCGTTGTTATGGATAATGAGGGTTGGGGAGGAGTAGAGGAATCGTATAAGGAAATAACCATCTGTGAGGATTTCGTTAGTAGCCGGTATTTGTATTCGGTCTTCTGCCTCGCCTGTGTTATCAATGTCAGAGCGTAACTCGCATCTGATGGGTGATTTTGTATCACGACTCTGCCGGGGGCAACGAGGAAAGCAGTCACTCAGATGGCTCAGCCGCTGCGAGTGGCTGCACCCCATCGAACCCAGCCTTCTCGATATAAACGGCGCGAAGTACTCTTTTTCCAGACGCACATCCGAAGCCGCCACCGTAGATTGCTGCAGATGCCCGGCCGCATGCCAGCCTGCCTGGTTGTTCTCTGGGGCTTCGGACCGCGGCCTAGAAAGGGGGTCGTTGAGAGGCATCATAGCTGCGTGATGTATGCGGGTGCGCCAGATTGAGTACGATGTTGTTTGACGAGCTCCTAGGCATTCCCAGTTAGTCTTTAGCTTTGGTGTTTTCATGTTGATCTGTGGGCTGCCTTTGGATGTTTGCCAATCGGATTCCTCATCTACTGTAGGGCTATCCTGCTGTAGGTTTGCTACAATGGTTTCTGTTAGGTATATAGGTCCTCGGACCCATGATGATGGGCGAAGGAAGAGTGTAAGGGGGACATGGGCCTTTTCGATAATTCCCCTATTGCTTACCGTGGACTTACATCTGCAGTTCTTATATATATATATATTGACAATTCCAAGAAGATCACGGCATCGTGTATTCAGTTAACTCGTGTTGGCCATACATGGGTGAGGCACACGCTGTCTATGGGTAGACATAGGTGCTATCATTACACCTACAGTATCTGCGGATTGTCGTTACCCGGCTACGACACTCCTATCGTACTGCCAGGCAACTAACCAGCCTGAAAGGGCCGTGCGCTTTGTCGTCCCCAGGCCGCAGCGAGCTGCACGATTGATGGAAAACCTTGCCGTTTCCCAGCTGCCTCTGTACATCTACGTCCCCACTCCCCAGACCAACACATCCATGTACCTGTCTCTACCGCCGTCCACCTTCATCGCCAATTCCAGATCGGCGATTTCTCCCTCCTGTCTCTACCGACGTCCGAACGGAGCTCGCTTCTCCCCCGTGTTTGGCAGATGATGATGGTATTGGTCAGGCTCGTGCAAGGGTACCTCAGGTTTGTTATTAAAAGAACTTTGGCGATTTCTGCCTCGTTTGCCGCATTGCCGCATTGCCGCATTGCCGCTGTCTTGCGACCTGCAGACGCTTAATCATCATGGTAGCCAACCTCGTCGACATCCCCTCCGAGCTGCATCTCAAGATTGCCCGGTGCCTTGACTTCCAGCCCGTTCCTCTTCGAGCACTCTCATTGACCTGTCGCGGACTACACCAGTCTATCAACCATGCTTTCTATCACGCCGCAGCACAAGATCATCGCGAACTGCTCTACTGGGCTTGCGAAACAGGTCAGGTTGCCTTGGCCAACCGTCTCCTGGAGGCTGGTGCGAATCCTAATGTGCCGTACCGAGTCCGAATTGGAGAGTCAGGAATTCAGCTCGAGATGGAGCAAGAGGCAAGAGTGACGATGGAGGATGCTTCACATCAAGACACTTTCTTGGCTTGGCATACAAATATCACCGTTCCTGGCCTGTCGAGATCCCTCCCTCGGAACCTTATGATCTGGCTGTGAACACAGACCCTCACATATACAACCACAAGGACGATTTCCAATACTGGTTCCCAATGCACTGTGCTGCAAAGGGCGGCTGCGACGAAGCGGTACGGCTCTTGGTGGACTATGGTGCACGCCTCGACCCTCCTGCGTATGGTATTTGCCCCTGCTCCTTCGGTGTTCGCGCCCAAAAGCCTCTCCATGTGGCACTTTGTCATCGGAACGAATCGACAGCAAATCTGCTTCTGTCACTGGGATCCTCTTTCGCCGTCAGCTTTAATCAATACCCTACCGCCCTTCAGTTTGCGGCCATGCATTCTTGCACCTCCACCATCCAACACATCTACGACAATAAAGACATAGACTCCTTGGATCAAGGTGGCGATACCCCCTCACGCTCTGCGTACAAAGGCGATGCTAACATGCAAACCTTCTCACTTTTGTTGCAGCATGGAGCAGATATCAACGAAAACCTTGGCGACGGATGCACAACCTTGCACCTAGCCTGTTTCTACGGATACTTCCACGAGGCTATCCGATACGTCCTTGCGGGTGCCAATGTTGATGGTGTTTGGTCTTCTGAGTTTATCCACATAGCCCGTGGTACTACCTTCACTACGTTGGTCCGACCCCTCCACCTGTGCTGCAGGCGAACCAAAGACAAAGAAATCACCCATTTCGGCCGGCGGCCAGCACTCACAGGCACATCGGGCCATATCTGACTTCCAGTCAGAAAGAGACCGGCTCACACTGGTCAAGCTCTTGCTAGAGAAAGGAGCCCGCGCACGAGGCAGTAACATGCACGAACAGTCTCCCCTCGTTCTCGCTTCAGCATCACATTTGATTCCGGTCATGGCTCTTTTGGTCGAAAGCGGCGCAGACGTGTGCGAAGCAGACCAAAACAATTGGTTCCCTCTAGCAGCGGCTGTATCCGGGGACGTTCTCTCAGACATGCCCAAGGGGGATGAAAAACTTTGGCCAACTGTGTATTGGCTATTGAAACAAGGAGCGCAGCCAAACCAGTTCAGAGTCATTGGTCAAGGCTGCACGGCCCTGCAAGTCCTCTGCGGGCGTGTGGCGACTACTGATCCAGTGCAAGCTCATATTCGACTTGAAGCCGCACGACTACTGCTAAACTATGGCGCAGATCCAAACCTTCCCTTCCACAGCCGACGCTCAAGCTCGTTGGCCCGGGAACTACTCAGCCTTCAATGCTGCTTTTCAGGCGGAACAATACGACCTGTTCCGTCTGATGTTGCAGAATGGTGTCAAAATGAGAGACATTTGCCAGCATCTATACCCAATTCTGTTCACAATGATGTTTTCTCTCCGGAGAGACAGCAATCAGCATTACCAACACAGGCCCATCAAAATGGCGAAGCTAAGAAAGTGAGACGAGATTGGCAAGCGAGAGGCAAAGGTCCGACGGGCTGTGCGATTCCTACTCGATCATGATGAAAAACGCAGCCTGTCACGCCACCCCCTAGCACTCTGGGCGGCCACAATGGAACCTGATCTTCCAGTAGCCGAGATGTTGATCGAAGCTGGGGCAGTAGACGTCTCACTGACCGTGAAGTACGGGGTAGAGTGTAAGTACAGCTTACACCATTAACTGACTCTACTCTCCCAGGGGATCTTTTAGGTACGAGCTAAACTCGGTGGACAAAAGTCTCCGCCCGACCCACCACAATCTCCTTCAGATCAAAACAACGCGTCAATCACCCTTCGACTTCACCACTCTCTCAACACCGCAATTAATAATGGATTTACGATATTTTGGGGACGAATTAAGCGGTAATCGCGTCGCTAACGGCGAATTCACTTCAGAAGCTCGCTCGGCAATCGTGGCGGCGCGAATCGACGGCAGAACGCGTAGGGATGTTGTAACCGCGTTTAAAACGAAGCGCCTGAAAACCATTTCCGATATTATCACTAACTTTGAGGCCACTTCTACACCGAAATCTGCCCCAAGGAGCGGTCGCCCACCCGTTTTGAATACTCGCGAACGCGCTCATGTGATCGAAAAGGCGAGAGAGCTCCCCAGGGCGATGTGGCAGAAGATTCGAAACGAAGCCTGCGTTTCGTGCTCTCCCAAGACTATCAAGAGGATATGTCACGCACATGGCCTCCAGAAGTGGCGCGCAGCGAAGCGAATCAAGCTCACAGATGAGGACGCTCAGAAGAGGCTCGCTTTTGCCAATTATTATAGCACACCAGAGCGCCTGGAGGAGTTGTTGCAAGCTATGTTCTCAGACGAATGTATGGTCCAAAACTCATTCGATAATCCAGGCGATTGGGCCATCCGATTCTCTTCAGAGCGGTACCGTTATGATCTCGTGAACGAGACGGATCACGGCAAATCTCGTATTTCGATAATGGTGTGGTCTATGATCTGGCTACGCGGCGGAGAAGGAGGACTAGGCAAGTTGGTCTTCTGCCCACTCGATCCGGATGCTCCGCGCGGAGGAGTATCCGCAGAGTCATACAAATGGGTTCTTGAGGAAGGCCTGCTTCCGTTCTATGAGGCTGGAGATCCTTTTGTTCAAGATAACGCGAAAATTCACCTCACTGGCGGTGTTCCGGAGTGGATGGAGGAGCACGGCATCCACTATATCGACTGGCCTCCTCACAGCCCCGATATGAACCTAATCGAGCACGTTTGGCGACTTCTGAAAAAGAACATACGTACTATCGAGCCTGAATTTTCTGAATTGAAGGATAATATCCCCCATTATCACTACGCACACGAGTTAATTGAGCAGGCGTGGTCAGAGATCGATCCGGAGCAGGTTCGGGCCTTGATGGAGTCACTGGAGGACCGAATAGCTGCAGTGAGGCGCGCCAGTGGTTGGTATACACACTATTGACTTAGTTATTAAATACAATTTATTTGAGAATTCTATCACCAGAATTGGATGCGTTATGGTTCAATTGAGTTGGAGGGTATAGTAGATGGAAGGGGTAAAATTGGGGATCGGGCGGAGACTTTTGTCCACGCATTGTAACCTGGAACACACAGTCCTTTCCAACTTCGCCCGAGGAGTCACTCCCGGTGCTTTAGCCCTTGCCGAACGTGTCTTCAACTTAGGGGCGGATGCCACAATGGAAGACTGCATCTTAGAAGGCATCAGTCAGATGAATTTGCCTTTCATCCAACTGTTGATACGCTATGGCGCGAAGACCAGAATCGAGGCTACGACAGAGTGGGAGTTTGAGGTGTGGGTGAGAACCGCCCAGCCGTTGTTGAGTGCGGGTTATGGTGCAGTGTTTCCGAGATCTTAAGACAGGGACCACAGGCTTGCTGGGAGGTCTACGAGGAACCCCAACAGTCATGCAGCCTAGCAAGCGACACGAAGAACAATCGTCTCTTCGTTCGGTCCTCGATCTTCTCTGAGACTGCCGGCTGACGTCCACCGCACTCACAACCACAGTGGTGCATAGGCGGCATTATATTCGGATGTACAATAGTTGCTTCTCTGTAGATTTCCAGGTTGTGAGCTTCTCACTCTGCTACAGTAGCTACTCCGCTTCTAGCACAATAAGACGCACACTTCCGAGATGACTTCAACATCTTGCGTGAAATAACGAATGCCTGAAAACCTCTATTACCTCAGCCTGGTCGAGTAAAACACCACCAATCCCCATGATCGCTGCCCAAGAAACCCCGCGAGTGTTACAAGAAGTATAAGCCAAATCGTACAGGAAACTCCCTTCGTCGCCCGCACACCTCGCGAAACAGCCTGCCCCATCTCATGCTTCAGCTCGGCCGGACCGCGTTCTCCTATTTGTAGTCGGCATAGTTGTTGTCCAAGTTTGACCCCGTCCCCGATAGATCCGACCCCGTTGACCCCGTCCCCGATAGATCCGACCCCGTTGACCCCGTCCCCGATAGATCCGACCCCGTTGACCCGGCGCCACCATCATACTCGTTCTTGTCGTTTGTGACGGTTTCGTCCAACTGCTTCATATCATCCACCACAGTGCGCGAATCGTTCAGGATCTTGAGACCTTGTTCAATAATCTGTCGTCTCTGCTTCTCGGTCGCAGCGCCGGACGCTCTCATGTCTTCGATGGCGCGGGCTTTGATGGCCTGGTCAGCGGCACCACCGGCGATGTCGTTCCGGGCTGCGAGCTTGCGGTTCATCTCTGAGGAGATGGCGCTGACCGCTGTGGCAGCGGTGAGGAGGGTGAGGAGGGTGCTGGTGATCTTCATGGCCGTGGTGGAAATAATAGTACGGTTTATTTTGGGGTTTTCTGCCACGTGTCTGATGAGGTTTGGGACGTAGTTATGGTGAGTGAGGTTGCCTTCGTCGGTGCGCAGGAAAGTGGGTGTCTTATATGCCCATCTTTACCACTACCCACCACCACCCACCTTGGAGAGTGTACCTTGCCATGTGGCCACTGATGAGAGCGGAGCAAAGTGGCAAAGGACCGAACATCATGAACGGCGCGACCGAAGATAAATCAAACAATGTGTCAAGGGTTTAATGGGTCCATTGCCTGAAATAATCATGGTTGCGTTCCTTCGCGGCCCGGCCGAGGCGAAAAGAGCCGCATCGATGTCCTGGCTCGACAATAAATAGCATACTCCCTCCCCACTCCGACGACCGTGCCTTCATCCTTCCATTATTCTAGAACTCAAAAGTTCGGCGGCTCGGGTTCGGTGACGTTATCATCAGTCGAAAGATCCTAGCATTTGGGCGCATCCTTTCATCCTTCGCGGCATGTAATTGCGCTTTCACATCCTCCGCCCACCGGGGATCCCTTCTCCCTCGGAACAGCGGCGTCAAAATTGTTTAGGGAGACCAGGAGATGCGGAACCAATTGGATCTTTCCTCTAGACAAATACGAAGAGAAATTGCGTAAGCACAGAACACAAATAGCAACTTCATGCCAGGTCGGCCCGGGAAGGACACGTCATTGCGCTGGTACATGCGCTCACTCTACCCAATGTGGTGGCGACTGGGTATCGCGGCACTCTCAGGATCAGGGTCGCCGCGGTTTGTTGGAACTTTCTGAAGTGCCAGCCTATAGCTCAAGGATCCCTGAGCAGAATGACACGTACTTGCCGTCCTGCGCCGCTGAAGGGATCATTCGTACGCGAATATTCTCATTGGCCAAGCCCCTCTGATGAAGTATGTGATACAGAGCATGCTTTACCGGGTATTCCGAAGGTTGTTAGTCAATGTCGTTCCGTGTTCCACAGCTAACGTGTCAAGGTTCTTCGAAAGGAAGCTGGAAACAGTTCACTCTGACTACGAGTGCAAACATGCTACGGCATTCTTTTCCATCAGCGGAAGTCCGCTGCTACCTGAGATACTGTGATTGCATTTGATGGACCGGTTCGATGCTGTATTCTTGGTCCAGATACTTCAAATTATCCAAAAGGGAACCTGGATACTCCCGATCCCGGCTACCAGTGAGAAGAGTGTAGGCTTCCACCTTTCATTCTTTAAGCTCATTCCATTCTGGGTTTCAAATAGCAGCCGAGCATAATGTCGACACACATTGTCCAGAGGCCTCTGGGAGGGAAGTGACTGTGCATCCAGGGGGCTCTTGTCTGGAACGAGGTAACCCAGCGCCTTTCGAACCAGGCGAACCCTGGTTCTCTATGCTTTCATTGTACGCTGCCTCATGGGATGCCAATCCCCAAGTTGATGCTACGATCGTCATAATGAGTATCATCGCCGCCTGTATAGGGGTTACTCTATGTCGCTAGTACCAAACTCACTACGGCCTACCCTCAACCACTTAGAATTGCCGACTCGAGGCTTCGCTTTCAGACATTCTTCGTTCACTATGAACTGGTCGAGCCAAGTCCCAAAGTTACTATGCGGATCCAAGAAGATCCGAATGCAGCAGCGCCTGCCACGATCATGTGTCACAGCCGAGATAAGACAAGCCATGCTCACCGGGAAGCACAGGAATCAGTTCTTTGATTGCAATAAGTTGCCGACGGAACGCAGCCGTCTTCCCCATGATGCATATGGGCTTCTGCGGTGTCTTCCGATCGCGAATGCTACCTGATACTGACAGCGGCGCCCTACCGCGTCATCCCGCAATGCTCATCCAGACAGAGGCGTGTGTTTCCCGTATCCATCTATCTGCCGACGACACATCGCAGTGCATATGAGAGTCAGGCATCAATGGCCTCACCACTGGTCCCCGCCGCCCCTGAGTGCCAGATCACAGAGCCTATCATCCAGGATGTCCCGAGTCACAGCAGCACGGTCGTCCGCCTCGAGATACGCTTCGTACTCAATCGTCTCGCTGTCACGTCTCCTGCCGTGCTGTCTCAGGCGCTTGTGTAGCAGGCAGCTGCAACGCTCCGCGGACCGGCAAATAACTCGAAGCACCCCTGTCAAGACGATTGCGGAGAATAATAGAGCAGCAGCACGCTGTGAGACGACCGCACAGCAGCCTCGGAGGCAAGGGATAATAATGAGTGGCGGAGAGACGGGCATGCGTTGTATCCCGTCGCTAAGCCGGGTCTCTCCCTCCCCGCGGAAGCAGAAGGCCGAACGGGGTAATAGGCCGTCGTGCGCTCCTGTGCGATGTGGACGGGAGGGAATATCCTGGCTCGGGTACCCCACGGTACCACCACGGCAACGCGACGCAAGGCAAGGCAGCCAAGCGCTTGACTTCTACCTTCGGACGAATCGCGTGCCTGCAGTGGATGGGTGCCCAGTACGACGGTCACCGCGTCAGACGGTACCGCACCGTGCCGAGCGAGCGAGCCGAGAGGGCCGGGATGGCTGCGCTGGACGAGAACGGACTCACCCGACTCTAATTTAACTACATGAGATGGGAAGCACGTCGACGAATTGGTCGATTGTCGCCTCACGGTCCTCGAGACTTTCTTACGTGCTGATGGAAGCGGCGAGTTTTTCCGTCCCTCCAGCGCGATGGACCAATATCATGCCCGGGAATAGCCAAGGCGTCAATCGGACGAGCCCATGTGCCCTGCCCCCAAGGAGAATTCGATACTACTGCTGCATATTCCGCATACGATATAGTGGATGCGAGCCTAGCTCGTGGCCAATTCCCTGTCCAGGGCACACACACAGCGGCCGCCGATATAGCCCAAAGGGGTGCAGCTGAGCTCAGCACGAGGGCCCCGGCTGCCTTGGTCCCTGGCAGCAACACCAGGTTGCGATCGCTGATGGGCCGTCCCGCGAGAGGTTTTCCTTGGAAGAAAAAGCGATTTCTTCAGCTTGGACTCGGCCCCTACTTAGGCGACATCGCTGAATACATTACCTACCTACCAATAGTATGTGTGGCTATTGGGGCACGGGCAGCAGCTGAGCAGAAAGAAGCAATCCCCTACGTCGGGCCATCCGCATTATTGGCGCCGAGGTAATTAATCAACGCAGCTATGCAGCTACGCAGCAGCTCGCATCCTTGTCACTTACTTGCCAGTTTTCGTACGGTACAGACATCCCCGGTACATGAAGCATCAGTTGGCTGACTGGATGGACAGTTGATAGCTGCTGGGATATTTCTCCACACGCTCCAAAACAAACGTGCAACGTAAAATCGCCGATTACACGGAGAATTAAGAAGCCATTTGCGAGACTCGACAGAAGGCTGTGCGACACGTCTGCGGTAGCGGTAAAGGCCAGCTCAATGGGCCAATAGGCCGAGATTTTACGGGCACTTCCCGGATCACTAGGGGCCAGGCGATATAGGGGAGGCAAATTCCGCGGGCGGAAGAACAGGGATCACAAGAAACAATGGCAAGAAAGGTGTGGCCTGCTCACCTTGCTATTGGGTGCAAAAAGACCCTGCTTGGCGTTCGTGTGACCCCATGGAGATGGTGCATACATAACTTACCTCGTATGCTGATATCGTGAGAGAGTGAGAGAGAGCCTAAGGGCTAGTTATCTCGGGCGCCGAAGGAAGAGTCCTGCAGCTGTTGCTTACTGGATGGGAGGAACCTGGGGTAGCACAGCGGTCCTTGGGTAGAGACGACCACAGCGGCAACTTGAGAGGTAGCAAAAGTACCTGCTTCCTTACTTTGAAGATTGAAGTTGAGGTGAACCTTTCGGTGAAAAGATCCGCGGCCCCCCCCCCCCCCCCCCCCTGAATCCCACGATCGACGAGAATATTGCTTTTTTCCTCCAGCGTCGGACTTAGCTGTTTCACTGTACACACCACATCCCAGGGCAGATCAGCAGAAAGTAGGCTCAGACGGGCATAGTAGTTGCTAGCAAAGTGCAGGTTTCCATGGCAGAGTCCGTGTATGCGTAGGTCGTCCCGCAAGGCAAAGTTACCGGTCTAGTTGCCTCTTTACTAGATACCTCTTGTGTAACGGTATTCCAGAACGTCTCAGTCGACCAGTCAGTCAGACCTCAGGCGCTATAGTTAGTCAATGAGCAAGGGCCTTCTCCCTCCTTGTTTGCTTATTGCTCACTTGCTTACTTGCATACCTACCTAATCCTCCTTGCCTGCCGGAGACACCACCCAGGCAACACCCTCTTAACCATCATCCCAAACCAGCACGCCATCTTCAGCCTCACCATGTGGACGTGTGCAACCACACCCTCAACACTTCAACACTGCGACTCTGAGCAAGCCAGGGGGCCCAGCTCTCCGGTCGGGGGCGCTACGGAGTGCGAAAATTGGGGCGTCAGGGGCTGGCTGCGATGCACACCAAAAGCCACGGCGCTCCGGCTTGCAGCTAGCTGGGAAAAAAGGAAAGCCACGAATATCCTTGTGTCTTTGTGTGTCTCATCACGTACATGCATGCATGTACTGTGTGTTTGGCTTCTAGCAATAAGCGTTGCGACGGGCACGACACTTGCGCCGTCGGTATGCCTACCTATACATAGGAGATGAACAGTAAGGGCGTATTCAACTCGCTGAGCAGTTTGTCCGAGTGCCCAGTAATAAGCAAGTACGTCTGGAATTCCTAGCCTGAGAGCCACACCGGTCGCAAGATTCCAGACAGATCTGGGGTCGCCTGCCCGACATTACCTCTTCGAGGAAAGTAGTCTGTGTAAATGTGTGCATTTGTACATTCTATTATTCATTGTGATTGACCTTGCCATGTTGGCACGTCTTTCCATCCAGTAGACGCGTGGTCGGGGCTGCCTTGACTCTCTGTCCTATGCTGGGGCTTTGAGCGCTGTGTCTTGCTGCTTAGGAGGTACTGTAGGTACCTTACCTATTTTACCGGTACAGGGGATTAACGCGCTGGAAAGAAGCGCGGACCAGTACCTGTCAATGGGATTATTGCCAGTGATACTACAGCACGGATGAGCTTGCGTTGCTCGGTTCAGCGCGCATCTTGTGAGATAGAGAAAGAGAAGGATTGTTGTTCTTTCAAATCAGCTCAGGTCAAACTAACACATGCTCGTGTTTCTGTCCAACAGGCGAGCGAGTTAGTAATGACTAATGAGTTCAAAACAAACCAGCAACAGACGGAGGAGCCTGAATACGACGACATTATTTACATCCTCCATCATTCAGTCACTATGGTTTTCGGTCTTGACCGTCACTAACTACGTCACACTGAAATAACTACCTCACGCTGCCCGTCACTAACCCTACCGGCAGAATCAAACCCCCAAATCCGCGATAAGAATAAAGTCAGGAGACATGATATAATACCAGCGAGTAGCGAGAAACCTTGCCCTGACCACCAGCACAAGATCCCAGATCGCCACGCGCGAAGCCGAACTCTAATGTCGTGAACATTCATCCCCGCCCGCTCAGTCTAGAAGTTAGAGTTCGCACCTAACAACTCTGACAGCCCGGCATATCCATGGCTTTCATTCATCTGATGCGAACTAGCTCCCATCATGAAGCTTCAAGATCATAACTAGCTATAGCTAGACGTTCGTTCCTACCTTAGCTTGGTACTTGAGATCGATGGATGGATGCACGTAAGTGACCTCTACGTAATAATGATGATGATGATGATTGTATTTAACGTGGGGGATCGCTCCTCAGTAGTGCAAACCACGCCTCCCAGAGCCTCTGCATCGCAGGGTCGTGGAGGTATCAAGATAATAAGTACAGTCAGTCCCGCTCACGAGCCCATCCCCGTTGTTGCGGCGGTATGACTTTGGGATCATTTATCTGGTCCTTCAAGAACAGCTATTTATTGGGGACAGATTGATGAGAAGAACTTGCTCTTCTCCATGAATTTTGCCCATTCTGTGCTCCTCTCCCCTAAGTACTATAAACAGGCTGTCCTAAGCGAGTACCTAGGCAATAGTCGGTTTTTCCTAAGCCTCTTACAAAAGAAAATGTGTTGTGGTGTTTTCTTTTTACCGCAATTGCAGTGATTATTCGAATCTGTATGCCCAAAATGTTGTTGGATTCTGGGCTACGTTAGCCCATCCATAGTCATCCTTCAGGATCACCATCCCCATCTGTGACTCTGTCACATACGTGGCCACATAAGGCCACGTATCCTTTCCTTTAGTATCTTGGATATATAGGGCCACTCTGGCCGTTCCAGAGTAGCTGGAATTCCTCTCCTTAATAGAACACTTTGAAATCTCACAAATGTTCGTAGTATCTAGCAAAGTCGCCATGTCCAGATCTGGCTGCTATAAGTCTGTATAAAATACTCCTTTTAAAAGATATAAGGTCTTTTTTAATTACTATATATGAGTATACTTCTTGATACCTAGGTTCTAATTGGTCTTTCCACCGTTAATCGAATTCTTTCTTGCTCTTCCTTGTGAGATCTCTCTTTACCCTAGAGATTATAGGAAGGTTTGTTGTGTCTATTTCTAGTATGGTACCCTTTTTTATTAGTATGTTAGCAGCTTTATTGCTATCAATATCTCTGTGTCCAGGAATCCACTTGATAGTCACTCCAGGAATGTGTACTATGGCAAGTACTTGAAATCGTAGAAAAATGATCTGTGATGTCTCGGGTGGAGTCCCATTGAGCCCATCTACCATTGATATGTTGTCCAGGCAGACATATAGCCGTTTTCCGCGTCCAATTGCCCTGGCTGCTGCGAGACCTTAGAGAGCGCCATGGACTTCAGCATCTATTACTTCTGCTTGAAGAAGTCTGTCTTTTTTCCGATATACTTCTTGTGTAGTGTTGCCTTTCCTGATGGTGTAACCCCATCCAGTACGGGTTGTGCCTTGGTCGTCCAACTGTGATCCATCCGAGTAAATGACAAGGTCAGTGTTCATATTTCTCTCCTGTAACCATTGCTTAAAGAGCTCTGTTTCTTTGTCTTTGTTCTTATGGATTGGGGGCTTTTTTTATGATAATTTGGTGAGTGTCGGTCTCTGAAAGTCAGGAACTTGCTAGAAGCTCCTTTATAGCCTTGTCGGTTCCTTGCGAGCTTGTACTTGGAGCCTGCCGACGAGAGGGTGTTTCTGGTCTATTCGTCCGAGTCGGAGGCCGTGACGTCGTCTTATTGACTCGCATCTATCGTTCCAAGAAGCCCCTTAATGCGACATGCTGATGTCCCACCTAAGCTCCCAACTTTTTCGATTCCCGGGTACCAGGCCTCCAGGCCGTGTGTAAGAATAGGAATAACACAAGCTTTCACAAGTGACCTCTACGTACCGTATCACAACAGCGCGGTAATCTCTCTAGATCCCCATCATCCATCGCAAAATCGCCTCGTAGATAGAGTTCGGACAGATCCAGGGGCTAGTCCGCGTTCGTTCTGTCAGTTGACCAAATCTGTCCGCAAAGTTCAAAACAGACACCAAGATAGGTGAGAAACATTGCAACTGTACCCAGGCATGCGACTCCTCCACACCATGTGGAACATGGCGCGCGAATATTACGGGGGAGGAATCCGTTTGGATACGGAGTTGTGAGACAGGAGCTACAATCGAGAGCGAGTCGCGATCGGGGATTATATACGCGTTCATATACGCCGAGGAGAAGTGACACTGCTCATGATCGCAAATGTAGTTGCAGTAACTTCTGATCCCCAGACTTAACGCCGGGGTCGCATTCATATAGTGAAATTGATGGGTATCCGCTCGACCTTAGGAGAAACTATTAAAAAGCCCAGAGTCCCTTTTGCCACAGCCCAGAACCAAGCAGCAGATACCGTGAACCCCTGAGAACCCAGACCTCCATGCTCCATCTATAACAGTTACAATCCTTTTCCCTGTGTTTGCCGATGAGCGAATGAGGTATCGCCCTCATGGTTGGTTGAGGCCGTAACAGTTCAGGTTTCCCCCTGGACTGATATGGAAACCGGCCGAAGTGTGAGTCGTCGTCGTGTATGTCGATATAGAAGTGCTTCGTATCGATAACGGTCTCGGATGAACGGACAAGGTCGTATGACATGCCTGGACGCCCCCCCCCCCAGCATGGCATCCTCTTGTGTCCGAAAAGCTGCCCCTATCCGTACCCAATGTGTGTCAAGGAAACCCTCCGTACAAGTACAACAAACACATCCCAGGTCTATTGCAGCGTTCCGTGGCGAAGACTCCGGGGTACAACGACGAAAGAAATGCGGAGAAAAGCAAAAATTGGTAGCCCAATCATTCATAGACGAAAGCCCCAAGCACGAGTAGAACGCCACCCTGTGTGCCCCCCCTGTGTAGAGTATAAGTCCCTTGAAGCCCGGTCGTAGTGTTTGGTATCCCTTTTTGGAACACTTCCGTTCGCAATGTGTTTCGCAATCCATTCATCCCAGGCCCATCCGTTCCGAAACCCCGTTTTACTCCTCGTGAAATGTGGTCGATCTGCGCAGGACCTAGTATATACGAGAATGTCGTCCAAGTCGTCCAAGTCGTCTACTCATGACTAGCTCCACGAACTGCTGGAACCGCAATCTGTGAGCACAGATGACAAGGTCGTGGATGTGGCGTCGTTGCAACGGTAATAGTGCCCCCCTAGAGGTGCTCTTCCTTGACCCCGTTACCCGGGTCTGACTTGAGGTCATCGAGCGGCGAGTTGCCGTTTCCGCTATCGGGGGAAGGTTTGCCATCCTTATCTCCACAGCCCTTGACCAGTCGATGCCGCTGTACGGCGTTAGCGAATGACGAGCATCGAACCCCAGAGTTGACCTACCTTTAGTGCGTCTTTCCTGGAAAATGCCTTGTCGCAGTGATCGCAAGGGAACGGCTTGACTGCAAGGTGGATTCGCTTGTGACGCTTCAAGTCGTGATTCCGATTGAACGACTGAGGACAAGTGTCGCACCGAAATGGACGGTCCTGCAGGTTAGTCGTTGGCCCGTGAGCATAGATGGTGTGGGGACCCATGTGGTGCGCTGGATGATGAAAGCCATGTGCCATCTGGTTCATGCCCCCCATCATCGACATCTGTCCGCCGGGATTTCCCATATTCGACAAGACTGCTCCTCCCATTGCCGGAGGTAGCTGGCCGTAGGCGTACGGCCGAGTCCCATACTGCGGTGGTGCTTGCATCGGGGAGTGATGTTGCGAGCTGAGGGCGGGTATTGCTCGCGAGATTGCTCCTGTCGTCGTTGGCGATGGCTGTTGGGGAGAGTGGTGGGTAGGCGCGTAGGTCGAAAATGATGTCTGCTGCGGCGTAGACGAAGGCGGCGGCCCATAGTAATTAGGCGTCGGAGGCGCCCTTGCGTAGTTGTTATCTGACGTGGCGCTTGTTGAAGGTGTGGGAGGTTGCGAAGACTGGGTCCCTAGAATGGAGTTATGTAGAGACTGCTGATGTGACTGCTGGTGTGGCTGCTGATGCGACTGCTGATGTGACTGTTGTTGTGAAAGCATGCTTGTATGGCCGGCGCCGCCTCCTGACATGGACATGGGAAACGGGTGCCCGACTTGATCGTATGGGGGCGCGGCCAGGTGGTCTGTCGTCGCGGGCGACTGCGAGCTTCGGGGATTGTAACCGCCACCATTAGGAGAGTAGAGACCACGGGGGTAGTTTGGCTGCTGAAGGAGCCCGGGCTGGCCGGCGTGAGTCATGGTGCCGAAGGTGTAAGCCGCGTTCACAGGCGTGGCCCAGCTCCCGTTTGTGCCGTTTGGATGATATGGCGATATTCCTGCCTGTGAGCTCTGCGAACTGCTGCTGTTGACGCCCGAGGAGAGAGGGCTCAGGTCAATTCCAGTCACTCCTGAAGACATAGTCAGAGGCTTGCTCTCAGCGAGACTTGGGTAATGGTGCTGCAGGTCGGCCACGGAGTTGTTATGGAGGGACTCGGAGGGAGGAGCGGTGCGAGGAGGGGACGCAATGTAGTAATTTGGATCTGCCACGGAGTTCTTCTTGGGGGACTCGGGGGGAGGAGAGGTGGGAGGAGGAGACGGTATATAGTAATTTGGATATGCCATACTGGGAACTTGGTGAGTATCCAACGGCGGATTCACGGGAGGCAGTTGGAAATGGTCTGGAAGCGTGCCCGCTGCTGGTCGACGAGACGTGAAGCTATGCTTGACCCGGTCCATGCTTCCTGTTTCCTGTTTCCGAAAGGGTCCTCAGGGTCCTCTCCCAGCGCAACTTCCTCCGATGTCCAGGTCTTGACGACAGGCGGGACCGGTGACGGGTCTATCCCAGCACGCGACCCAACGTTCAAATCGACGTCGACGTCGAAGTCGAAGCAGCTGCACGTGGTCCGGCAGGTAGGCTGGCTGTCCGCTGGCAGGCGCCTTCGGGGCCGTGCTCAGATCCAAGGTCCAAGTTTGCGTCCTTCCTGCTGCGCTCGCTGTGACAGTTGTGGCTCGCAGCGAAGTGAATCGCCAAAGCCGGCAGCGACGATAGGTATGTATCCTAGGTATACTCGGATCGTGACGGTGTACCTTGGCGTTTTCCCTCTTATTTTGGAGATGTCGTCGTCGTTGTCGAGTATCAACCTGGTCGTCGTCTGACCAGTCCAGTGCAGTACAGAGAATTTGTGGTGTGTGGTGAGTAAGAATGAAGAACTGTGTGGCTCCAGTGACGGCTGGCCGAGGGCTGGGGGCTTTGACTGTTCGTCCGAGGTGTGTCTTGTTAGTGAAGCCCTAGCCACGAGTATGGCTGTCCTCTGGGGGTTTTGTGGGTGTGCACAACAAGAGCTGGTTTCTGTTGCCTGACAGGTGGATTCAGGAGCTAAAGTTCTCAAGTTGAGGTGAACTGGCTCAGGTGTGGGGATGTAGATCCTCGGGAGGCGCCTGTCGAGATATATGGCTCGAGCATGTATTGGGCGATCGGAACCCTGCTCTGTGCGTCGTAGCCTGACTTGGCTTAGGCGCAGAGGGACCTGGCTGGCAACTTCCTTTTCTTTTTTTCTTCGGCTGGCTTTTGAGCGGCTTCTCAGTCTGCTGTTGTCACTCGCCTCAAGCCTAGCAGCCTGGGGCTTGTAGCAGCTACCTCTGCTCGCGAGCGGTGATCTCGCTCTGGCCGGTCTCGATGACCTGGGTAAGGATCTGGGTAAGGATCTGGGCTGGGTACCTGGCTCCGAAAGGACACCCTGGCACCCTAACTAGTTTCGACGGGATGAAATACTGCCGGACGTGACGAAGGTTGACCAGGAAGAGCTGTGATTGTTGTGAAGGGAACACAAAGTGGCCTCTGGGGTGTGGGTGCCTAGCTGAGGTTATGTAACTAATAAGATACCTAAGGTAGGTACGGGGCACGCAATGTGGACGGACAAAACTCTAAGTGAATAGAGTTCAAGGTACGGGCGATTTCTTCCTCTTCAGTACAGATTAGGTTTAGACTCAGGGTCCGTCTGCATATCTACGACTGGGAATTCCTCTCAGAGGTGAGTGGCTTATTTTTCAGGGTCGGGCTGAGTGGATGCCAGCACGGGGTTGGAAGGAGTAGGAGTAATAAAGCTGTTGGGAATCGAGATAAGCACAAGCACCCGCGGGCTACGGAGTGCGAACCATGCCAACATTGAATGCTGCGCATTTGAGGGATTCGAGGATGCGTCTGGAGAAGATTGAAGACAGGGACTCCTCTTTCCGGGACCCTGCTCACTCATGGATGCAAGTCGGGTCATCAATTAAGGAGGACGACGTAGCCAAGCCAGCTGAACGTGGGTGTGCGAGGTTCACAAAAGTGTGGGACAAATACCTCCCTCGGTCATCGGTGTGTGGTGTCTCTGAGAAGGCTATCTGGACAGCTGGACTTGTTATTACGGGCTACCAGACAAGGAATGGGCATGACAGAAGTCCAAGGGGACGGACGCAGTCAGGCAGGTCCGCTACATAAGGACATCAGGACAAGAGCCTAGAACCTAGGTAGCTAGAACCCTGCTCTGCTCTGCTTCCGTACCCACCCCGAGGGCGCTCCATGTACCCAAGATTCCGGGTTGCTGCTAATGCTCAGAGGTCGGCTAGTATATTGCGATTCATTAATCACGGCGAGTCTATGCAGACAACATGTAGTAGTGCAGCCGTGCTTTTTGCTCAGGTATTTGACTTGCAACTTGCAACTACGCAACACTCTCAGCGCGGAACATCATTATGCGCGGCTTACGGAAAATGCACATGCGCAGTAGGACCTGGCTGGCTGACACTGCTGAGGTGCGCGATGAAGTAGATGGGGCGACATTGGGGGTCTTGATGACGACCGGGGTCGTCCTTCGTCCCCCTGTCGTCCAGAATCCAGATTGCATCTAACATCCGTCCCCTGTCCTCCGCGTTGGATTCTGGCCTCGGGGTAGAGGACACCCAGCAGTTCCTCATCACGGTCAAATAATGGTGTCTGAAATGATCACTCGTACGTGACCGAACGAGCGCATACAGTACCCATTGCACAGTACAGTCAGGTACAAGAGAGGACAGCATTTCTTTTTTATCCCGCTACGGAGAGAAAGCTCTGGCTCTATTGTCTTGGCACGCGATCAGCGATGTGCCATCCGATGTGGGCTTAGCTAGCGGAGTCTGGCGATTGCGGCTGGATCTTACTTGAGATGATCTCCAGACGACTCTAGGGAACGGCGAGCGCGGATGATCAGAGCACGCACCGGATTCATGATCCATCGCGAAGTTGACAGAAAAGTTGGGTAGCCAATGTATCATCAATCCCCTGTGAGTGGGAGCTTGGGGTCCGATGGTCACTTCATCCTGTCCATTGGTCCTGTCCAAGACGTCTTATCCCTGATAGCTGAAATAGGTACTTGACGCTTGTCATTTTGTAACTTGTTCGCAGCTTCATATTGCGAAAAGTAAGGCCGGCTCGTCGATACACTTCCACCTTCGTCAATGCGCGTGTACAAAGGGTCTGTCATCCAGTATTGCCTGTTCAGGCAGCCTGCATCTGGAGAGGATGTCTGGATGCCGTTCCTCAGCAGCTTTGTTGGTTTGCTCGGGTGGTGACGCTGAGGGAGGGTCGATCAGATCATGACGTGAATCCTTCGATTCGTGGTGGTCTTCTCCAGACCCCTTCACTTTATCCTGCGATCAACGGGTATATTCTGAAGCTAGCCCTCGGCGCGAGCCTCGCTCAGTGCTTTCACCACCCAAGTACCATGTAATAGGGTAGCATGCAGATGCAGAGTAGCACTAGCATAGGTGTGTGCTGCGTGGGATCAAGGACCGGATGCAGCTCTGGCCTCTGGGAGGTGTGGGAGCAAGGGTAACCCCTGATCACCACCTCCTCACTTCGGAATCGTTTGTAGTAAGGAGATACTTGGGATCTTGGGCAGCATACTGGATTCAGCTGCGCGGCATGTATTTGACATGGCCAAAGTAGCCCATCGGCGCCGAGAGCGAAAGCAAAGGACTGGGAAGATGGGTCGACTGACTTGACGGCCTCGGGTTGTGATGAGTTATTTCAGCCAATCTGGACAGCCAGCTTGATACCTTGGATGATCCATCCAAGTGAGCATGCTTCCGCCCGGTCAGCTTTGTCCCAACAGAGCTGCGGCTGCTCCAATGCAGGGGCAGGCACCAGCTGTGTCATAGACTCACAGGAGCTGGGAGTTGGCGAGTTCAGACTTCGGAAGACCTACTGCATCCATACAAGTAGCTGAATGGACTGTGTCACCCAGCATTGAAGACCCAAGACTCAAGACCCAATGCCCAGGGGCAGATACAGTGCGCTGTTGGGTGCCGTCACTGGCCCAGGCAAGACCCCTGCATATCCCACTGACCCTGTAGGTACCTATGTATACTTTACCAGGTAGGTATGTACTTGACTGGTCGCACGTGTGATGCATCATCCAACCAGAAGAGACTGTCACTCGACTATGTTTCTGCTGATTGCTTTTGCCTCTTAGAAACACATTTGCCTTGGCTGAGAAATGCGTGGTTCTTTTGCAAGTGTGAGTGAGCGCTTACCGAGGTGCTCTCTGCTTGAATTTCGCTATTAGACCGGAAGACGGATAACAGAGTGCCCAGTCTCTTTCTAGGAATACTTGACGGGTATGATGCCTTGGCTTCCCTGACTCTGGCCAGCAGTTGTTCCATATGCTCCTTCTTCATCACGTAGAGGACATGGCTTCGGAAGGGGAACCGCCTCGTGCGCATAACAGTCACACGAGGGCTCTTGTGTTTTCCATGTCCAAATTTAGAGCGGTTTCACGACGGTAGACTCGAATACGGGAATTTCTCTGGTCAGTGGTACGGTAATCCTGTGAACAGTGAGATGACTGCCAAGTAGATATTTGTCCTGTGTCACTCGACACAGCCCAGTCATAGGTAAGCTTCTGTCAGCGGTGCCGATGATGTACGCCGTTTCCATTGGCCAAAGAGTTGGGTAGATGGATTTGAAGGAGCCTGCGCACACCATCAACCCGTGTGCGTCGGGGTTTCGGTGCCGAGTTGCGTTGCTTGAGATCCTTTGGCGAAGACTGAAGTCTAGTTGCTACCTAGGCAATAGGCGAGGGATTTCCTGGAGGTGCCGCCTGTACGACGTGAAGATGCCAAGTATAGGCGTCTGGAATTGCTGCGTGCATCGCTTGATCCTTGGACGGGACCAGTGGCGCAAACCCCAAAGCCTTAGCATCTGCATGGCGCAAACAAGGTTAGTCGACATGTCACAATTCATCTATGCCACCTGGCCAAGGGGGTCGTTCTGCCGCGTCAGATCTCGTGGGTGTCATCATCACAACCAGGAGTCAGGGTTCCGGGAACGAGGACGACCCAGGAGTGGGAGTGCCGGCGCACGCATAGTGTGACCCGTCAATTCATTTCGCAGCATGCAGATCCAAGGTAGAGAGAGACCTGGACAGCGGAAGGTCTGATTTGTTCGGAATGCCGGCCATTCGCAAGTGAGACTGAGTCACTTGCTCTGGCGGCAGGATGCAGGCTGTGATAAGTCTCCGGGGGCATGAAAAGGTAGGTGCCTACCGGTAACAATGAATGATATGTAGTGAAACCAAAAACGCTCAGTGGGACATCCGAGATGATACGGGAAAGACGATGCGAACGAGGCCGTTGGTCAATCATGAGCAGGATTCCAATGCTGTTGTTCTGCACTGTTTTGACTTTTGAGGGCATTGGCATTGGTGCAGTGAGCGTGGAATCTGGAGGCACAGGGCTCGTTACCTCGGAAGAGCACAGACCACCACGCGGCCTTAGTGTAAGTATCGTGAAGTATTGAAAGGGAGGTCCTTTCGAAACCCCCTTTTATTCCAAATCTAGTTAATTAGATAATTAAGACTATAAATATCCGCTTAATAATCTAAGTATTAAGTACATTATTAAGGTTTTTAATATGTTGTTCTTTCTAAAAATGATATTTAAGGAATTTAATAATAGCTTGTAATCGTTGTTTATATAGTATAGCATCTTTCTTATATAATGATTAAATTTTATTTTGATTTAAATTTTAAGTTTAACGTTTAGTTTTTCTTAAATAATGTATTATAAATAAAAAGTAATATTTTTAATTAAAATGATAATAGCGATATTGGTTCGATTAGTTCGTTTAATTTTTTGATAGTTTAAAATTTTTTTTAGGTAGTTTTTTTTATTAATTTTGATATTTAAATAACTATAATGAATAATTAAATAAAAATATATAAGAAGAACATTACATAACAAATTAAATATTATAAGTTAAAAAAATTTATATATAAGTTTTTTAAAAATATTAATAAAGAATATTGATAAAAAATATAAAAAAAGCTTCTTAATTTATTATATTTATTATTAAAAATTTATTGATTTAAACTCAGGTTTTTTATTTACATGATATAGTTATAAACTATAAAAAAGGTATTTATAATTAGAACGGGATTGTTATATAACTTTGTTATCAATTATTTGGGGGAAAATAAGATTTAAAAGATTTTAATTATCGTTTCATAAGTTTTCGATCGGATAAAATTATTAAATTAAAAAGATATGAAAAGGATGAAAATCCGGGTTTATAATTATTAAATAATACGCTGTAGATTAGTTATATTTAATTTTTAAATCGTTGTTAATACGGAAGTATATTAAAAAACGTATTAAGTGAAGATAGCATTTACGCAATAAAGAGATAAAAGTAATTATAAATCTTAAGTATTAACATATCTTATAATATATATTATATATTTTAAACCTTTCAAAATTAAAATAATTATTTATTAAGACTAATTAATGCCTTTTTAATACTGGTTAGCGTTGAAATTAAACCCTTACCGTATTAAGTTTATTTAAATTTTATTCATTTTACAAGGCTTTAAATAAAAGCACGATTTAAATTGAAAGATTTAAGTTTCATTTATATTAATTAATGTTTATATAAATTAACTTTCTCGCGCCAATAAAGGTAGTTTTAATACTTATCATTTTATTAATACCATTTGTAACGTTATAGAATAAATAAAAATAAAAATATGTAGCTTTATTAATAATATTATATATATATGAGTTTATTGTTACTACTTTAAAGGTTTTAATAAAAAAAAACACAGTTATTTATGCTATATAACCGTAATTAAATAAAAAAAATACTAACTAATATTTTTATTCCTTTAAAACCCGTCAAATTCTTAGTTTCAAAAGATATTTAATATTTTTATTTCATAGAAATAACCACTATACATAAATCCTATAAAAACATTGGCTGTAGTTTTTATTTTATCGTCAACTTTTTTCTTTTTTTAATAAATAGTATTAAGTATGCTATAAGTTTTACAAATAATCTTTGTACGAAAATCGTTCTTTTGAAAAACGACAAGTTTACCTTTATAAAAGATTAATTTTCTTATTATTATAAAAATTCTGTTGATTTCGTTGTTAGCTTTATAACGGTATTACTTTAAGTGAAAATCTCTTTAGTTTAGATTTAATACTGTGTTCGATTTGACCGATCTTAAATAATGAAAAAGAATTGATTCCGTAGAAAAGACGATTTTAATAATAATATTAAGTGTTTTGAAAGCGACATTAATGAAATAAATTTTACTAATAGAATAAAATAAGATAATAGTTTATTAATAGTTTGCTAGCTTTTTTTTAAGTCTTTATATCCTTATTTTAAGATAATAATATGTTTATAATAATACTTCTTAAGTTAAGACGGTATATAATTTTATTTTCATTCTTAAAAAAAAGGTTTTATTAGTTAGCTTATTTTAAGTCAAGTACTTATTTCGTATTAAAATATTAAAATACTTCGTAGTCCGTAATTATTAAAAATAATTTATTAGTTTAAAAACTAATAGATTCAGGTTTTTAACTTAATAATGTCTCTATAACTACGAGTAATTCTTTGTTATAAATATTATAATTCAGCTCCGCTTTTTATAATACTTTTAGAACAACGCTGCCAGATGTTATAAATTCGTATGAAAATAAACGTTATAATATAATACTAGCGGCAATTCTATTAAAAGCGTCGGTTTTAATTAAGGTTTTTTATTGTATAAAAAGTCTTGTAAAATTAATATTATTAAAAAGGCTTGCTTTAAAGCATTAAAAGCCGTTTAATAAAACTCGGTCTAGTAAAAATCGGAATTCGTTTAAAGGTTTAACGATTTGTTTGTAAATTTTAATAATGTACGATAAGAGTTAGAAAAGCTAAGAAAGCGTCCTTTTTTAAAAATAACTTTACTATTAAAAATAAAGATCTATTAGTTATATATTACTTGAATCTTTTTAAGGTTCTTTTTAATATATTAGTACCGATAATAAAACTAAAGAATTTGATTTGAATAACGTCAAATTTACTTTTATTAAAGTCGTTTTATAAACTAGCTTTTTTGATTAATTTAAGCCCCTTTAAACGTAAATCTCGTGCTTTTTAACGCTGTTTTTAAAGATTAAAATATGCTCGATATAAGCTTTACAAAACTTATTCAAACAACCTAATAAAACATCATTAATATAGCGTTAGAATATAAAAAAGTATTAACCAATTAAAATAAAAGCACATTATATTAATAAGTGCCGTATATTATTCGAAACGTCATAATCGTCATGGTCTGGTATAGGTAGCCCATGTGGTGAGTCCTGGAGCCCGGACATGAGTACATGTACCACCATTGAATGTCAAGCTGCCACGCTTGATATTCGCCATCCTTTTGGGAGGTACAGCCGCCTTCACAATAATATTGTTTTTTTTTTTCCTTTTTTATAATTTGTGTCTTATAAAAAGCTTATTGAATATTAATATTTAGAAATAAAATCAACTTGTTTAAAACTTAATCGGGTTTAAAAAAAAGATCTTGATTTGTGATTATGATACTATTAGGTTTTTAATAACTTATATAAAGATATAAGATTTTATTAACTTTACGTAAAAATAAGATGGATGCCGCTTAAAGCGCGAAAAGAGCTTAATATTTCTTTTTTATAAGTTTTTAATAACATATTCATAACAAGCTTTCATTTTTTAAAGATATTTTATAAGGCGCGCTATATTTTAACTTTTGGAAGTTTTATCTAAATCGATTTTATAATTAATCTTAAGTTTTAAAAGGAATGATTTGTTATACCGAACTTTGTTAAATATATTTAAATAAACGTAATACTAACGTAATATTAGCTCTTGTACTTTGTAAAGTATTATCATTACCATTTAATATCGATTTTCTAAAAATTAATAATACGATTAATTTAAATAAAGTTACTATATTACATTGTATATTATGTTTTATTATCATTTACATATGTAAAATGATTCTTCTCATAGTTATTTTAAAAGAATAATATCTATAATATCCAATATTATTTTTCTTTATTTTATAGAAACTTTAAGTATCGTATTATATCCCTTTAAAATAAAATATTCGGTATAATCGCCCATAAATACGTATAATTTTATTGAAAATTGTATCGAATTATATCTTCCAAACACTTTTAATTTTGTTAAAGTATAATCCGGTTAATAGTTATTAGCGTAATTACAAGATTACAATCGAGATTTGTTTTGAAGATTTTCTAGTATATAAGTAATTTTTGACAGACTTTTATGTAGTAAACAAATATTAACCAACTTATCGATTGTTTTTTCAATTAAATAAAAGTTATTATCTTTAAGTAACGTTTGAATACTTTTTTATTATATTAATTTCGAAGGTTTAACGCAAATTAAACTAATAGCTTTTAATATTTCATCTTTTAAAAAATACTGTAAGGTAAGCGGGTTTTATAACGTTCGTTTTATTTATATTAATTTTCTTTTTTATTAGTTTAGTTGTTTTTTCAACGAAAAAAAAGTTTTTTAAATTTTTGTTTGTTTGTTTTATAAAGATCTCTTTACCGGCTTAGTGAATAAACTTTTAATTTAAAAAGAAGAGAGTCTTTTTAAAAAAAATCTACAAGCATGTTATAACGATCGAATATTTTTTTCTTAACATACCGTTGTGTTTTTTATTATTAACAGTAATAAAATATCTTAAATCATATAATTCAAATATGAAAATGCGTTATTAAAGTTATGTTAATGAATTGCATTGTTCTATTATTAAGTTTTACGATTTAAGCTATTCTTAAATCGTTACTTTAAATTTCACGTTTATAAGTGATTAAATACTTGCACTCATATTTATAACGCATTTTATGTCAAAGAAAGATCCGTTATTAACTATCGTATAATTAAAGAAAAAATATTGCTTCTTAAACTTTATTCCAAGAAGTTAAAAGGGTATTTTTTTATATGCTCAATATTTGATGTTTAAATTAAATGTTATTTTTTTAAACGGGTATTTGATTCATATAAGCCTAATCTTTTCCCTTTTTCGTTACGCTTTTAAGCGTTTAAGGTTCTGGCAGTTTTTATAATAAAGTTAATTTAAATGATATTTTTTCATATTTTTTAAAAAAGAAGTATTTGGAGTTTTAATAATCTTATTTAGAAAAATTAAAAGATTAGCATTTAAAAATTAAAGATTAGGTCTATTCGTGAGAAAGCTTTATGTATATCTTCTTATTGTTTTTAATAATATCAACTATTTAAATATTATATCATTTAACGGCGTTAATATTTGATTTGCTGTTTTTTAAAAAGCAACTTAAAACGACGGTTAAGGTTTAAATTTTCGTTTTAAGTCCTAAAAGCCTTTTACTTATTTTCTAAGTATGTTTTTTATCTATAAATCTTAAACTTTTTACGTTATTAATAGTTGTAAAAGTAAAGGTATAAATAAACTTGTAAAGCTTACCGTA